AACATGCAGCTTCAGAGTCTGTATATTACCGGAAGCCCGGTAACGAATCGGTGGTTGGATCCGGCACCTACGGAAAGGTCTTCAAGGGAGTCCATGTCTATACGAAGGATATGGTAGCTCTCAAGAAGATTCGTATGGAGGGCGAACGCGATGGCGTAAGAACACCCAGTGCTAGGCAGTGACATAACGCTAACAACTACCAGTTCCCCGTTACGGCCATCCGTGAGGTCAAACTTCTGCAATCTCTTAATCACGCCAATATCGTTAATCTCCGAGAAGTCATGGTTGAGAAGAACGACTGCTACATGGTCTTCGAATACCTTTCCCACGATCTCACCGGTCTTTTGAACCACCCAACCTTCAAGCTCGAACCAGCACACAAGAAGGACCTTGCCAAACAGCTCTTTGAAGGCCTGGATTACCTCCACCGCCGCGGCGTTTTACATCGAGACATTAAAGCTGCGAACATCCTTGTATCCAATACCGGACAATTGAAACTGGCAGATTTCGGTCTTGCACGTTTCTACGCGAAAAGCAGTAAGCTCGACTACACCAACCGGGTCATTACCATCTGGTACCGATCACCGGAGCTGTTGCTGGGAGAAACACAGTACGGGCCAGCAGTCGACATCTGGTCGGCTGCCTGTGTACTGGTCGAGATCTTTACCCGGCACGCTATCTTCCCTGGCGATGGCGGCGAGATCAATCAGCTGGACAAGATTTACAACATACTCGGCACGCCCACTGTGCAGGACTGGCCTGGCATTGTCGACATGCAGTGGTTTGAACTGCTACGGCCAACCGAGCGAAAACAGTCGACTTTTGAGGAGAAGTACAAGGACCGCGTTAGTCCTATGGCCTTTGAGCTTCTCCAGGCAATGTTCCTGTTCGATCCCAATGCGCGACCCACCGCCGCCGATGTGCTCGAGCATCCTTTCTTCACGAGCGAAGCCCCGCCACCGAAACGTGCCGACGCGCTGAAGGAGCTGGAGGGTGACTGGCACGAGTTCGAGAGCAAGGCTCTTCGGAAGGAGAAGGAGAAGCAGGACAAGGAGGCGCGGCGTGTTGCGCGGGAAGAGAAGGATACTGCAAGGAAGGACGAGGGTAAAAGACGTGCCGAGGCAAATGCTGGCGAGGAAAGGGACGCGAAGCGAGCGAAGAGCGGTGATGTTACGGCGTAGAATGCTGGAACTTCACAACCGAAGCCGCGACGCCGCAGCTAATTAGATGGCGTAATATTTGTATGGATAGAGGTATGTTCGTTCTTCGCGCGACTTTTGGAATGCAACCACATGTATATTCCATATTCGGAACACTCTATTCTCATATCACGATACCTGTTGCCTGTCTTGAGATCAGGTTACCGTCGACGGGTGTGCAATGTCCATATATGGTACCTCGCCGCCGTCGAAGTACACATATCTGGTGAAACCTCCAGTCATACTAGCCACCACCAGCGCAGCGTGACTGTCCCCCACAGTCTCTCCCCCTACTATAGCCATCTTCAGCCTTGTCTTGGAAATGATCTTGGCCCGCTTGCGAGTGAAGCGCTGATCCATAAGCCACAAATGCTTCAGCCTTCTCCCATATTGGGGATTCCGTAATGCGGTACGCAATTGCCGATCTTTAAGGGTGATTGAACCGTGGCATCTGTCGTCACCACTTATGTTGATACGACCTATAGATCGGCATAGATCCAGTATATGAACTAGGCCTCTGTCGGTGACAAGTTGCGCGCTACCGAGCGAAATGTCCTTCAAACCAGGGTTGATGGAACAGAGTGTAATCACGTCATCGTCATCCCGAGGCCCTGCGTTGCTACAATGTATCGATACAATGGTCTGTCGAAATGCAGGTGGTGCCGATGCCAACGCCTCAAGATGTGATCTAGCCACGGCCATAATCGTCAGTACCAAGTACATCATTTGTTTAATCATAATAAAGTATGAAATCGCTTACCTTTGCACGCGAAACCCGGGTCCGAAGTGTATTTTCCAAATACCGGTGCGTAACGCGTCTGCATGCAATCGTTGTTCCCACTGGTCCCAATTGCCGTAGAATAGAGTACCCTCTGGGTTGCCGAGACTGGGAAAGATTCCGAAATATACAAGACCACGCCTAGCTTCGGCCTTTTTCATAGCGTTCGTGGGATCCTAATTATTCGACTTATCATCGGATGAGTCGCGCTCATTGACGCATTGCTCGACTTCGACGCTACTTTCGCGTTCGTAGTATTCTTCCTCCTCCTCCTCCTCCTCCTCCTCTCCGCTTTCTTCATTTCCTTCGACTGTCTCGTCTTCCGTAGAACTCTCCTCGGAGCCGACCCCATATACTTCTTCGCTGTGTTCTCGTTCGACAGTCGCTGCATACCCTGCGGTCCTGGGTATCTTTCGTCCGGTAGCATCGGGATACTCTGCGTCTTCGTGGTTCCGTTTTAGTGTATTGTTTTCTGGTGCATGGCCATGGTGCTGTGCGGGTTCTTGCGGCGCCTTAGGTTGATCGGGGACATCACGAGCTAGTGGAATTGGATGGCAGACTTGCGAGTTCCACTTGTACGCTCCAATTCCAGGAATGTCTACGGAGCAAGCAATATAGTAGCCGTAGGGAGTGTTAGAAGTGTCGGGGGTACTACAAGGGTCTGATCCACCATTGCAGCACCAGATGTGGGCAGTTGATAGGAACCCACGGACAGGATGAAGTGTGAATCTGGCCTCGCATAAGTTCGGGGGAGTCGGAAGGAGAAAAGGAGGATGGAGCTGGTATTCAATCTCAGGAGGTTGTGGTGTACATTTCTTCCAGCTTAATTCGGGATAAGAGTCTAGAGTTCTCATGTTGCGTTGTGGGCAGCGGGAGGAAGGATGATAGAACTAGGTATGAGAACGGGATTTTAGATGATTTAAACTCCCTTGGTGTAGAGGTCGCTTGATCCTTCAGTCGCTCCCTGAGTTCGATAAGTGTTTCAAAAGCAAACCTTGGAATGCGTCTGGCCTTCGAGATTTCACGGCTCATGGACTCCTCTCGAACAGCTCTCGGCAAGCTTTGTGCCCCTGGTGGCGAAAAGACCCTCGGTGTGCGCGTCGTGAGCGGGGCATGTCTAGAACAAGACTGTCAATCATCGTAACAGAGACATGGTGTATTGGGCGGATAAACATTGCGATAGCTGGTCTCATCAACATTGAAAGCGAGATATCGCTGTGATTTTGTCCTGAACCTCGAGTGTCGCAAGGCCGGGTTGATGAGACGCGAGACATCCTGCATGAAGGCTGTCACGCTAGCAGGAAAAGCGACTAGCCTGAGTCTCTCCCCACACCTCCCACAGCACCAATCTCGTATCGTGATAGTAATATCCGAGACCATTCAATCATATCGTCCATCAAGGTCCCGGGAATGCTCGCCGTGGGAAGTCTGTGATGGCGTAGCGTCGATGTCAGCTGCAATGGTCGACGTTCGGCTGAATGCGGCGTAGTGCGGAAGCTCCTTTCCCGTATTTAGGCTTCCCTAGCGGACCCAAGCCCGGAAAATGCCAGACTATCCATGGAACTAGAAGGTTTTTGCTTCTGTCCACGCGTTATCATGATTCTTCGAGACTGCTAAAAAGATTCTCCCGTCGCACACATACCCACCGCTTGTACCCTGCCCCGGTGTGGCTGATTCACATCACACTCGTTTTCATTACCTCTTTGGGCGTGTGGGCAGCTCGATCGGGACAACATAATAACGATGGTATCGTGGCGGCCGGAGACGAGATTGGAATGGTTTTTCTTTGGCACTACGACAGTTCAGGCGATTACGAATATTACGATACAGACGTTCGTATTTCCCCGCATAACTCACTCGCTAGATGGACTGTCTAACTAGACCTAGAGTCATTCTTGTCACGTACTTGAATTGGGTAAACTCGGTCGCATACCAGGTTCCGATATCTTATGTCATCCCTCTGACCTTGTGTGTCAATTCATTGGGATGTCTCTTCCAGATCATCTTGACACTTGACGCATACCGGATCAAGAACCACATCCAGGTGTTCGTTCAATGCGCCGCCAACATATGCCTTTCAATTTCGACAGTTCTTCAATATGGCGAGACTAGACATGCAGTATCTAGGATTCTTATCAACCACGACATGTACGGCACACCTTTTGCAGACGTTGATTGGCCTTTCTGGAAGAAGATCTCACCTGGCTTGATGGTCTGCACCGTGGTTACATGTGTCAGCAGTGCCATTATGTGCTGGTTAGCGAGGGGCCTATACCGTGAGTTCTCTTGGGCTTTATATCAGCATGTCAGCCCTGACAAGAAGATACAAACAAAATACGCTGTCTACCAGGTAAGACTTGCGTCATCTTCTTTGCCTGACCATACTCACACAAGCACAGATTTACCTCGTGCTTCTCAAGTTTACACCCTACTTCGTTTTCACGTTCATAATCTTCTACGATTTCATCGACGTCCATTTCCAGGAGCCCGAGTTCTCATTGACGATCTCAATCATCCCGGCTACTCTTGTACATGTGGCTATCGCGGTATATTTTGTGAGGCATGAGCGTCGCATTGGAATGGCGTTTGTTTTGGTAGGTCACTCAACCTCGAAAGGACTGGCACTCGCTAACATCGCATCTCACAGCTTCTACATGCCGCAAATATCGCATACCTGATCAGCAGACTCCTCGTTCTCTACGGGCACTCGTTACTTGCTGATACTCTATTGAAGGATGAGATGGTTTTCTACCTCTGCGTTGGGGTGGTCTTTTCGACGAGTGCTCTCCTGGCCGGCTGCGTTTGCTTCTACAACTTCAAAGAGGGACTAAGGCCAATTCTTTTAGGCCAGGTGCAACGCAAACCGCGGGCACATGAGCTTGAGGACGATTATTATGTACAGCGTCTGAACTACAACGTGGTGCCGTTGGCGGACCGAGACTCACAAAGATTCGCGTTGGATTGATAAGTATGATAATCTATAGTATCTAATACAATGACATTTTTGCGTATCTAGCCGCGCGCTAAGCCCTGCTTCTCGGTATAATCTCCTCTCGTGTCTGATGTCCACGTATAATCTTCAAATTTGCTCGCAGTTTTTCGCAGGCTTCCACTCTCTTGTCTTCCACCAGCTGATCTACGAGCACCAAATTACGAAGACGTTGGGCCTTATTTTCATTTGCAATCAATATTGCGTCGAGGTTACGCAAAGTCACACCACCAGATCGTCTCGTGAGTACATCCCCACATACTTCAATGTATTCAATGGCCGGACAGAACTCAATAAGACTCATGATGGATTGGTCACCAATATCTGGAGCCAAATCGATTTGCACCTGTGTTAACTGCGCCATGTTCGCGGCGAGGTTGGTAATAGACTGGTCGTCTAGCAGGGCACTGTTGCCCACGCGGATCGCGAGAATGGATGAACTAAATGCTGCTGGTGACCAAGCTAGCATATTGATGTCGGTGCTGTTTGGGATCAGTATGCTACTGATAGATGCAATGACAGACGAAGACAACTTACACAGTGACAGCAAAGCTTGGTTCGAAAATGACCATGCGTATGCCCGTGCGACGCTGCGCCCTCTGCCATCGTCGCTCCCAATCCTCAGGACTGACAAATCTGAGTGTGACGGAATCCGCAAACGCGATGGGTGGACGGAGATTGCATGGATAATACGATTTGACAACATTAGAGCGTTCGATGTCGTTCTCGAAGCGTGCGGCATCTTGTGCACGTATTCTACTTTCGCTTTTGATCCGGTCGAATAGCTCATCTTTAGAATCCGTCTCCATGCGGTCGTTCAGTTGCCATTCGTCTTGAAAATGAGTTCCATTTGCGATGCGCATGTCATCATCCTCATCGGCAGATATCGATGTCGGTTCTCTTGGTAGAGCCCTCGCCACACTAAGGCGACTTTCTTGTTTTATCGTTGCTCCCGTGTTCCGCCCCCTGGGGACCCAATATCTGGATTGTGTACTGGGGATCCCTTGGTCTGCAATCTGTACAGTTCTTTCGGCCTTGATCGAGGGACGCGCGTCTTCTTCGTTTTGATATGTTTCATCGTCCTCCTCGTCCTCGTCCTCGTCCTCCTCTTCCTCTTCCCCGTCGGTCTCTTCTGGGGAACAATCTTCTCCATCCGAGCGCTCTTCTTCAGTAGCTTCTTCGAGCTCGTCTGCTTCTTCATCTTCCTCTACCAAGGTGTCTTCCTCTTCCTCAAGTTCATCGGCTTCTGAGTCTCCCTCTTCCTCTGAAGTGTTTCCATAACCTCCTAAACGTCTAGCATCATGATCCTCCTGATTATCATCGCCAGATTCTGCTTCCTCTGAACAGTCCTCTTCTGATCCAGAATCTTCTGCATCACTTTCCGCAGAATCGACGTGCGATCTAGCGATGGCTCGCTCTTGTTGTGCCTGGGCTCGTATCTCAGCAAGTAGCTTTGAGATTTCCCTCTGCTGTTCTTGCTCGTATGCCCTCTGTCGCTTCCGTTCCTCTCGAGCTTATGTCGCAAGCTGTTCTTGCTCGTATGCCCTCTGCCGCTCCCGTTCCTCTTGAACTTGTGTCGCAAGCTGTTCCAAATCGTCCAGCCTCGTTTGCTCTCTGCGCACTAATGCCACCCAATCTATACCCTCAACATGCCCTCTGCGCCACTCAGTCATTGCCGGGACGGGTATATCGATACCAGCATTGACAGCGACTCTTTCACAGCGGAAGGAACCCTAATGCTCTGCGAAATGACTATGTCTGGTCTTCTCTTGGAGACGCTTCTCACCTGTGCCTCTACAACCGGTTGGTAGTTCAGCCGTAACTTCTTCAACATCCCCCATTTGTGCTGATTTTCCCGCATGTTCATGAACGAAACGAAATGGCCTTTGACCCGTCCGGTGGTTCTAGGCAAGCCGTTGATTCGAATAGCTGTGACGCGTGGACAATGTTTGAGGATGGCGATAACTGACTTATCGGTCAGTTTCGGTGCATATAAGTCGATGTCGCGTAGCCAGGGATTCCGTGTAACAACCGCGCGCACGTCTCTATCCGAAAGAGTGCCTCGCACGTCATACAACCAAAGGCGCTGTAATTCGCCGGTATGAAGCTTTAGCGAACTCTTGAACGCAGTGATGGGGTTGTGAGTCGTGACTTCAGGCTATAGAGTTTGTCGTCTGAACATACCACGATAGGTGGAAGTTGCATACTATACGGATGTCTTGCACTGAACCCCGCAGCAGTTTCTTCTTTTCTCTTCCCCAATCCCAGTCTTTCGAGCTACGACATGTTATGCGCTGTTCCTCAGGCACTGTCTCCATCAACCAGCGAGCTGCTGCTGCTGCTAACGACATCGCTCGATGTTGGCAAGTGCGTAGCTTTGAACGTGTGGTGCGGAAGATGCCAGTTCGGTGAATGGGTCCAAGTGTATTACTTATTGCGTACGAATTAAAAAGTCAATCCACTGAGATGCAAGCCCGCGCCGTTTTTTATCAGTGGTTGGCGTCGAGCGACTTGGTGACCGTGGGCATCTCAAGGTTCCTCAGCCTGCAGGAGCGAACCTTCCCGAAAAAGCCGGACTCGTTGGGTGTGGGGTACCGGTAACTAGTGTGGGTCCCGAGGTCGCCTGGCCACGTCTGAAACCGAAAAGCGTCTGCACAGATCGTGCTCTTGGAACACGAGAGAGACAATGTCATTAGCGTTTAATGTGGAATAAGAGAAGTCTGCTCGCTCCCGAGGTCGTACAGAGTTGATGATAGAGCCTGCTGGATAAGTCCAGGCTACAAAACGATGATGTCATACCAGCGCTTCCAGGGCGCCATCACCCAATTTGGTCTCAATTGTCGGCACGCTTGCGCGCTCTCGATATTGAAGTGAAAGCCACCTGAAACACTCTGAATATATCTCTTAATTGAAATCGGCTTTGGTCATACACTATCGTCTCTCTTGATTACAGTCCTCATCATAGCATCCTCCTCTTCATCCAAGGCATCTCCTCCATGGGTTTCGGCTGCCTCATAGTTCACTTCGAAGCCATCCTCGTCCAAAGGTTCTTCTTTGATGACGTTCTTAGTCAAGGCGCTTCTTTCAGAACTGCTGCCTGCGTTGGCGTTCACAGAGGTGTTTTCCATACTTGCTGACGCTTCATTGACGTTTGTGCTACTCGTCATGTCGGCCTGCTTTGCATCTTCTTCGTGACGGAGATCGGAAACTTCGCGTTTTGCAACCTTTCGAGCTGACCGTGGTGATGATGGAGAGGCCGGGTCCAGAGTCCGCTTTCTACGACTCTCTGGTTCTTCAGGGATCTTTTCTGCCTCCTCCTCCGCCTCCTCCGCCTCAAGCTCAGCCTCCGCCATCTCCGCCAGCACGGCCACTACCAATTGAAATGGATACGATGTCTGGACAATATCCAAGGATATGATGGACTGAATTGTCAGTTAGATTTTTGTTTATTAGGAAAATTTCACGTAGCCCATTGTTACGTGATACCAAATCAAGGATATCATTGTCTGAGATATTGGCTGCACTATTGGCGATCTGAAGACTTTGTAACCATCCTGTATGAAGTTTTAACGACCTCATGATGTCACTGATCAAGATGTGAGCGACAGTGTTCGGAGGCCATGCATGCTACCCGGTCGTTCCAACTTACCTAGAGATGGGCACTTCGTCTAGATTAACACGACGGACTCGTCCTTGCAGTTTGGCTTTCTCTTTGTCCCAATCGGACTCCTCTTCGCAACAAATGGACTCGTTCTCGGAACAGGGTGACAGGCGTAGGAGCTCTGCCGTCAGCGACATGATCGGATTGTGGTATCCTCGGCGTGCGTGATTGCAAAAGTGCAGTTGGACAAACAGATGACAACAAGTCGGGTCGAATCCCTACGTATCATGGAATGGACGCTCCCGCAGTTGAACGTGTGCTTCGATTAACACCTGCGGGCCTCACCGTCGTGAATCGTGTATCGAAGCGAATTGAACGCGTTCCTTTATCGGATGTTGGGCAGCCTGGGTTCCAAAGACTTGATGAGCATGATAGCTTTGAGAGGTGCGCCGGGTTTTGCGGCTCGCGGAAAGGGCGGAAATGAAACAGCCCAAGACTCGTTAGTTGCGGGGCCGTCCACGGGTCTCAAGGCCGAACTCAAGCCGAACGCCACCGACGCGATGATCAATGTCCATACTGCTCCTTCGTCACGCGTGTCGAACACGATTTAGATCAGGCTGAGCCTTCCAAGGTTGTCTGGATTTAAAGTCCTCGTGGTAGCACGCCCATCATTCATCCTCGCGTACTCCGGGAGGGCTGACCTGTGGACAGCCCAGCCCAAGTGATCGTGGGGATCAGACTTGGCCCAACAACACCTGGGCATCATGCCAACTTACATGTGTCAGCGTCCTGCCCTGACAACATCGTTAATTTATATGAACGGCGTAATCTGCTCCATAGCCCCATCTATCTGGTACCGTATGCCTTCAATAAATCGAGCCTTCACAGCGGCATCAGATGTTCCGTTATTTACTAGACGCAAGGCAACGAAACAACGTCGATAGGATGACTGCGAACACACAAAACAAGTCGAGTTCCATCAAGCTGCAACATTGTAAGAGCGAAACAATTACTGTTTGAGTTCGCAAATACACCCACATCCCACCGGCATTTGTCCACCAACAACATCAGAACAGCTCTAAATCGATAGCAGGTCAGGCCGCCATTTAGTGCACATCCCAGAAACACATTGCAGCCCTCCCTTCTTGTCCGGCTTTGGACAGTCAAGAAGAGGCATCCATTTCACAGGGGTTGGATCGAAGCGGGTCCCGCCACCACTACACTGCACCTGTATTGATAACAATAAGCGCGTGCGCAACCTCGTATAAGATATGGAAGACTTACAATCCAGCCCGAGTTACATTCGCAAAGGTAAACCCATGGTTCTGTGCATTTTTCATAACGCTTGGCACAAACTCCTGATCCGGTTTTGAATTCGTAAGCATCGATGGATGTGGTGAGGAGTGAAAGCGCGAAGATGGGGGTGAGGGATAGTTTCATGACGGCGTGTGTATCGGGAAGGTAGGTGAGTGCAAAGAGAGAGGGATGGTCTCGGAAACGTAAAGAATGAAGTGTCGCTCTTGACGCACCACATTCGACTTACCTTTGGACACATTTATCATATCTGCGATACGAGCGCCGTTCGCAGACTTCTTTCAAGTATGGCTCCTTACCAAGAACAAGCCCAAAAGGTGTCTAGTGAGATCTGGATTTAGATGCTCGAACAAAGACGTCAGTCTTCGTTTCGTCTGGGCTTACCCTCCCCGGCTCTTATGAACTCGATCTTCAAAGAAGACATCGTTTCAAGTTTGGGTAGCGGTAACGCAGGGTAGTATACGCCACGTCTCTATGTTAAGTTCACTGCGCAAAGACTCCTGGATGTAATCACTTCTTCAATTCATGATATGGTGATCGGATGCCGTACACAGTAAGACCATCCGTTGCAAAGGACTTATCAAGGCCGCGGCAACTCAGCTAAGTGGGATATGCTAGTACTGGCTCACCTCTCTTGATCGATGACTTGCCTTCGCGACAGGAAATTAGACATGACGGGCCCCGTCATGTCTGTTGCTATTGTGAGAAAGACGTTGCGATGAGCCGAATCATTTTATCCAAGAGACGTCTGTTCTAAAAGACACAAGTTGTGTTTGATACCACATCATTGTAAGACGCGTTGGCAATGAATTGCGTCTGGGCAGAAACGAAAAATGTTGGAATGTAAACTCGTCGTGCGTTTGCCCGGTCCGTGGATGTCTATGAAAGACCATCGGTGTTGCCGTTGAAGAGTATGCATGCGGATCACATGAAGCTGAAGGGCCGTGTCGCGCTAGCCAAAACGCAAGATGTGTGGGAAAGGATATGCATCATGAGTACAGACTACCGGACACCTCCATCGATGCGTTCAGTCGGGGTTTGATCGCTCTTTCCCGAATTCTCTTCTAGCTGTGACGTCGCTGCAAGTGCGGGTACGATGTGCAGAACCGAGACCCGCATTAGGAAAATGCATGAAGCACGGCTGAAGCTCGTGCTGATACTTGGACATCTCCTACCAACGTTTCTGGAATCGATAGGTTTGTTGTGTCTTTATTCCAGACTCGACGGAGGTTTGGCGATGCGAACTCCTCCGCTCCTTCGTTGCTTCTTCATCGACAAGGCGGGGTCATGTGTTAGCGTCAACCATAGCTTGAGCCGCCGCACGATCTGGAGCTACGTCTTACAACCACCGGCTCTTCGATCATCGCTCACAGATACACTACACTGGTAATGGCCAGGCGTACACCGGTGTAGCTTCCCCTCCAATGGCTATCGTCATCCACTTGCTCGGTCATGGCCGACGTTTCCGATTGCCTGATCGCGGTCCGGTCCCGCGGGCCAGAGAATGTCATTGGCTCACGGTTCTTCCCTCGCGTTGCAAGACGGAATCCCGTTTAGGACTATCGAAAGCTTTGGCGTTATGTAGCGGCCGAAAGAAGCAAGCGAGGTCAAGCGATGGCGCTGTCGACTCGGCGAGGATGCTATAGCGCGGCCCGCCCCCATATATGATCTGCGATCTGCAGCATCGAGATACCCAGCCCTGGTGATCTACCCGCGCCTGGCATCACATCATCCAGTCGTAAGCCGATCCATCATGCAGTCCAATGCCCCGACAAGCGAGAGCGGCAAGGCCAAAATCCCTCTCATCGACGTGCGCTACGAAGGATCGTCATTGCATATGGCAATGCCGGGTCTGATCTCCTAGGCGGTGCTCATTCAAGCTGAATGCTACGATGGTTACCTCCACCTCTTGAGTCGCCGACACTTGATGAAGAGGTCCCACTTATCTCATGCATGGTTCCAAGTTGCTGCATGTGCCTTTCCAGTAACAGTGCAGCGTATCGAACGGCAGCTGGGATAGCTCCTCCAGTTTGCCAAATGCTCTGAGAACGTTGCGTCATACGTGGGAATATACCTCCAAGCTGCAAGCCACGACCAGCTCGTTAATGCGAGGAGCTGACTATACCGATGGCAGTATTGATGTGCCGCTTGTGATACGCTACCATGGTACGTGGGGCAGGATGCTGGTTGACGGCACTGACAGCATAAGTACCACTTTCCGCTCACCCTCATAGCATATACATCTCAAACATCTTCACATTTCTCTCAATACCTCACATCATCACAATGACAGACACATTCGATACCACCGCCGATATCTCGCCAGAGAGGCTCACTATCATGAAGCTCAAGGCCAGTGGACTTCGCGATGTCTTTTCTGAGCCTTCCTCCCCCACAGGCAACCGATCTTTCTCATTCGCCAGTCAAGCAAATGGTGGCGGCCACAGCTCATCACTGACACGTCGAACAACTCGTCAGACCAGCTCATCCTCTCGTCGAGCAAGCAGCTTCCTCCAGTCACATCGAAGCAAGATGTCTACAGAGCTCACATCACAAGCTGAGGGCAAATTCTTCGCCTTGATGGACCTCATGTCGACCGCCTCCCGAGAGGCTTCTTCGCTCAAAGAGTCATGGTCTCGTATCATGGCTGAGCGAGACAGTCTCTCCCGTGAGAGGGATGAGCTTCTCATTACCGTCGAGGAGGTGACAGAAGAGATTCAGCGTAAAGAAGCTGAACACTCACATTATGGTCATGAACACGGCGAGAGGAAGAGGCAGGTAGAGAAGCTCGTTCTTGAGCTTAACGCTGCCCTTACTCAAGTGACCGACCACAAGAAGAAGCTTGCCGATCGCGACCGCGACCTGGAGAACACCCGACATGAGCTACACGAACTTCAAAGCTCCATCACGCTCACTCACGGTGATCACGAGAGGACCAGGTCGGAGCTAGAGGCTGCGTACTCCAGGCTGAAGATCTGTGAAGGCGAACGCGATTCCGCTCGATTCGACTCAGACAAGCACCACAATGAGCTCAGGACACTTCTTCGTGAGCACACTGAGCTCAAGAGCAAGTACAACGAGACTACTTCCAAGTTTGAGTCTACTCGCAAGGAGGTCCTCACTCTTACCGACCGTATCAAGATGTTCGAGCTTGAGCGGGACGAACACCTCCACGAGAAGGATCGTCTTCACGAAGAGTTGAAGCGCGCGAAATCTCGCGTTGACGAGACTACTCGCGAGTACACCGAGCTCACTGAGCGACACGACCGTGTGCAGCGTGAGCTTCACAAGCTCAAGGAGACTGTCCGCATCATTGAGACGGAGCGTGATGACCATGCTCTGACCATTGACAACCTCCGCCGTGAGGTGAAGGCTAAGGCTCAAGGTTGGGAGGAGGCTGACGCCCGTGCTAACGAGTTCTCTCTCAAGTACGAGCACATCAAGCGTGAGGTCGTTTCCGTCAAGGAGAAGTTGAGGGACGTCGAGCTCGAGCGCACAGAGCTCCGAGACGCCATCGACCGCTCTCGCGAGGACCACCGTCTCGTTGTCATTGAGCGCGACCAGGTCAAGCAAGACCTCCACGACGAGCACCGCAAGGTGGAAGACGGCCACCGCCGCATCAACATCTTGGAAGACTCGCTCCGCCGCGCAGAGCTGACGATCACCGAGATCAAGTCAGAGATCCACACTCTGACCGAGCGCAACAAGGTGCTCTACCGTGAGGGCGAAGACTCACGCGGCAAGCACGGCCACCTCACCGGCGAGATCAGCAGCCTTCAGGAGAAGCTCGTAATCTTTCAAACCGAGATCACCAACCTGAAGTACGCTCGCGACCGCGCGCACTCCGACCTCAACGCCTGGAAGCACAAGTACGAGGAGATCACTGAGACCATCTCTACCTACGACGACTCATCCGCTGAATTCGAGTTCGAGATAACCTCACTCCGCACCCTGCTCAACGAGGCCCGCGAACAGAAGGAACGCGCCATCTCCGCGCGTCACGCCGCCGACCGCGAGCGCGACGAGTACATGGCCAAGTACGAGGAGAAGTGCCGCGAGATGGAGCGTTTCGAAGAGTCTGCTAGCAGCGTCTACCACGCCAGCAGCGGCGGCGCAGCCCGTGGCGGCTCTAAGATTTCCAGGGTAGTATCCAGCGGTACTACCGTGCACAACCACAGCGCCTCTGGCGGTGGTCACAGCCACGGACACAGCCACGGACACAGCCATGGCCATGAGCATGGCGAGGGGAATTCTATCTTCGCGCATTAGTTACGATGTCGACCGATTGGGATTTCATTGCTGGACGGATTGGCGCATGATGGGTGAGGAAGTGAGGAGACGGAGGGGCGTGTTTGAGACGAGTAGACCGAGTAGGCCGGGCACGGCGGAGACGAAATTGAGCTGTTGAGGAGTTGTGCGGTGTTAAAAGTTAAAAGCTGTTATGGGTGGTAGGATAGTGCGATAGCCAAGGTGTAATTGTAAAGGTTTCCGAGTTATTTCACGTTGTTTCGAAGTCGTGAAGAAGATGTTTTCGCCATGTTCACGTTGACGTGATGATGAAACCAACTGTAGTGTGCTTATCTGTCACTGTGTGATGCACAACCTGTTCAAGTCATTAGCAACTATTGTGACAGGCAAGAAGGATTCGTTGGTAATGTGTGTTTATGTGTAGCAGAAGGCCGCTATAGACGTCTCGCGACGCAAACGCGAACCCTGTGGTCAGGATGACGAGCGGGCTGGCCGTAAATATGTCGCTTGCCCCATCGACCCGATACCCTGCAAGTAATGAAAAGCTTTGTACAGGAGCTACGTGATATCAGAATGAAGATGCTACTTCGCTTGCTCAGCAATGCATAACCAGAACGAAAGCAGATATGAACCCTCCAGCCAGACACAAGTCGTCTAGCTAAAGATAGCAGCAGCCGCGGAAGGCCTGGGGGGAGTCGGGTTGAGAAGACCATCCTCCTGTTCAACATCGTCTTCAACATCTAGGGGAGGGCTATCGTCGCGGACCACAATGTCGGTGTCGATGGTAGTGAGAAGGGTGTTGCCATCCGCGTCAGCCTCCATCTCGATGTCGTGCATGCTCATCTCAACCTCCTCGTGTATCGGCTCGATGTTCTCGTCGTTCTCGCCCTCCTCTGGGTACTGAGGCTCGTCGTTCTCCGGGAGCTCTTCGGGGAACTCGTCGTCGTTGGCCTCCTCGGGTGAGTCTTCGGCGTACTCCTCTCTCTCCTGCTGCTGCAGCGCGGCAACAGCCTGCATGTCTTCGTCGTCTTCAACGAGGTCTTGTTGACCGTTCATGCCGATACCGCCATCGCTGTCCTCTTGGTATTGGTCACGATCTTGCTCTGAAGACACAAGCGCATCCTGGGCATCTTCAACTTCAACGACTACGCCGTCCTCTTGCTCCTCTGCGGCAGGAGACTCGTCCGCTTCGATGAGATCGTGGAGGTATTGGTCGATCTGCGCGATGTATCGGTCGGGGATTTGGCGTACGGTGTGGCCGCGCATCTTGCGAGGGACGAGGGGCTTCGACGGCTTCGTAACTTGCTTTGGAACAATGACAGCGGCAGCGGCCTTGGGCGGACGTCCACGTCTAGAAGTTGGCTTTGGAGCTGGTTGAGGTGCCGGTTCGGTCTTCTTGGCTGGGAGTCGGGTGCGCAATTCGGATCGCATGCGAGGATCGAGGCGGCAAGCGACGGGCTCAGGCTTGACCTTGTTGGTGTTGCGAGGAGACGACCTCTTGCCGATGCGAGGGGAGCCAGCGACGCGGTGAAGGTCGACTGCAGCGCGCGCTGGACGGCCACGCTTGGGTGTAGCTGGAGCTTGCTCTGCAACAGCCTCTTTCTTGGGGCGTCCACGACTCTTGACTGGCGCATCTTCTTCTTGTACAGTGACGGCGTCCTTCTTGGGCCTTCCTCTGCTCTTCTTAACTGCTACTACTGCTGCCTCTTTGATGACGGGCTCCGGCGCAACCTTGGCCTGGCGACCGCGTTTCTTGGGCTCTGGCGCGGCTTCGACGGGCTCTTTAGCTTGTGCTTTCGCAGGGCGACTGCGCTTCTTCGGGGGCTCGGCGACGACGTCGGCAGCATCGACGACATCAGCTTTGGCTGCGCGACCTCGCTTCACTGGCAATGCGACAGGCGCTTCTTCGACCGCGGCGGCGGCCTTGCCGCGAGGCGTACGTGCTTTCGGGGGCATTGCGGTATCGCGATGGGTTCTGAGGGAATGCGCGATGGCAAGTATCGTGGCGCGTTATAAAAACGCGTTTGGGCAAAGTCGCGTTGGTTGTCGGTGGGTAGAGCTGTGGAGCGCGAGAGGCCGCGTCTCACTCTCTCACTCACTAGCGCTGTCGCGGTGCACGTATATAAAGTCACTAAGAACGCCAGTCCACTAGAATTCTTCTTTGTACGGGCTTGTAGGCCTGCCTTCACTTCTGAAAGCTCTAGTTGGCATTGGGTAACAAGATCGATACTCAAGTCTTAGTTTGAGTCGTTCACTAATGGACACTGGCAGTAATGAAGCCGCTCAAGCTCACCACCGCATGGTTTAGGAAACGCATTTTCGCAAGGAATTACAATATATTACACCTAGCAAACTTGGTCCTGCTCTAGGATCAGATGCTAAGTCTGGAGAAGGTCTAGAGTAGTCTAAAGATAGAACTTTTAGAGATGAACGGAAGAGAAATACAAAGCCCAGACTCCAAACGTTGACCAAGGACGCCGATGCATTAGCGAAAAAGAGGCAATTTATCCTGAGTAACAAGCGGCAAGAACACAAAGGCGCCCAATTACTCCGCCTTCTTACTCGCCTTGGTTCTCAGCTTCATGAGAACATACACCAGCGCGTAACTCGAGATGGCGAAGATGACACAGATCGCCGCGTCCCTCCATCCGTAGTAGTAGTCGTTCAAGTTGACTGTATACAGGTAGTCGCTACCTCTGGTGTATTGACAGACTCTGCAGTCGGAAGTAGCATCAGGGTTGACGAGGTTCGTGCGACTGCCTGGTCCAGCCATCCACGCTGTCAAGTATTCGGAACATGTCTGGCCAGATGGAGGATCGAACATTGCAAACTCAGACTCGGAGCACTTGATCTCCCAGTCAAAGTCTGTGAAGACGAGCAACGACCCCATGAGGTAGTTGAAGGGGTTCATCCAGTAAATCCAGTAGCGCCAAAATTCCTGGATCTGCGCATACGGCACCAGTACACCACAGAAGGAGACGAGGACTCCAATGATGAGGGGGTTGACTAGCGAGGCAAATACAGCGTTCGGAGCGTACGCGGCAACGAACTGACCGATACCCGTGTAGATGAACTGATAAATGAGCATGACGAAGAACACGGCGCCTGCCTTGTTGGAGTCCGAAGGAAGGCCAGCAGTGTAGTAGAAGCAGACGTAGTAGAGAATGGCGCAGATGATGAGGTACGGAATCTCGGAGACGACGAGGCCAGTGACGAAGGCGATCCAAGAGTACATTTTCGACTTCTTCTCGCGTGTTTCGTAGATGTCGCGACGGTCGATGAAGAGGGGCTGTAGTTGCGCAATCACACCTGGTGCGACGAAGATGTAGTTGAACAGAGAGAAGAGGATGAGCTGCTGGTCGGCTACGGTGTTGCCGATCTTCCAGAAACTGAAACCAATCAAGAGTGCGGTACCGATGTGAAGGGCGAACTTGTTGTTAACGTAGTCGACGTTGCGGTACATGCTGACGTTGGCCCTGTTGGTGACAATCTTGGTTTGTGTCCAGAGACTCGTCGCGAACTCATGACCGTCATCCGTGGTACCGGGCTCTTTGCCAGCAGCATCGGTGATGATATGATCGAGGTCTTGGTGCATGCGCGCAGCTTCTGGCGAGTCTAGCCAGACTTGGTGCCAGTCTTTGCCCTGTGTGCCTGTAACTACGTCGATCATGTGTTCTGCTGGGTTGGCACCCGGAGGGCATGGAGCATCGTATCGCTCAAAGTATTCCTTGATGGTCGAAGCGTTGTCTCCGATGTCACCGAAGTACACGGTCTTGCCGCCCTTTGCGAGGAGTAGAAGAGTGTCAAATTGGGCGAAGAGCAGAGCGGACGGTTGATGAATGGTAACCAAGACGGCCTGGCCAACGTCGGCAAGCTTGCGAAGGAATCGAACGGTGTTGAAAGCGGCTTGTCCATCCAAACCAGCTAGACGGTGTTAGTGAGGAACTTGAGATATGGTAGTAGAGACTTACAGGTAGGCTCATCGAGGAAGATCAAAATGGAAGGCTTAGAAACAAGCTCGACACCAATAGTGACGCGCTTGCGCTGCTCAACCGATAACCCGGCTCCAACACGACCGATCAATGTATGTTCCAGGTCGTGTAGCTCGAGCAGATCGATGATAGTGTCGACGTAAGCCAGCTTCTCCTCGCGGGGTGTATCGCGGCTTTGACGAAGGAGGGCGGAAAACTCGAGTGCTTCCCGGACGGTCGCGAAAGGCTCGTGGACATCGAGTTGCTCGCAGTAGCCCGCGGAACGTTGGAATGAAACAGGAAGTGGTCGGCCGTCGACAAGGATCTCTCCATGAATAGTCCCATCGGTCTTTCGCTGAGCCAATACATCCAAGAGGGTCGTCTTGCCAGCACCAGATGAGCCCATCAAAGCTCCCAGCATACCAGGTTTGACGTAGCCGTGAACATTGTCCAGAAGCGTGCGGTCACCAGATGGGGTCTTGACAACGTAAGATAGGTTGCGCCAGGTGAAGACAGAGGTGTTGCGCATGAGGTTGGCACTCAGATCCTGAGTTTCGGTAGCCTTCTCGTCAGCGCCGTCGGTTCTGGGGCTCTTCTCATTTGCCTGGGCTTCTTCATCGCCGGGTGTAATAGAGCGTGGGACCTTCTTCTTGTTCTCACGGGGGATCAGGAGAGCGCCTCCAGAGCTGGCCGAGTCATCCCATCGGAGTGTGAAGAAGATTGTGAGGCCCACGAAGAGGAACCACCAGGCGAACAGAATACCGACGTTGCGCCAGATGTGGCCCTTGGCGTAAGAAAGGCTCTCCAGGTAATCGTCACCACTGACAGAGGTAGCTCCAGGCTTAGCTCCGCCAACACCTGCGCAAGCTTGGTTCACGCCGTTCTGATATTGAGGAAGGAAGTTCGGGATGAGGTTATTGTTGACACAAGGGATGTCTTGACCAGAGAACTCGTTCGCCATCAGAGATTCGAAGCCATAGCTCAAAGGATCAATCCAGTAGATCCAAACGAACCATGGATGCATCGCGGGCTTTGGGATCTGGTAGCCGATGTAGAGAATGAGAGCTGTGATGGAGAAACCCGAAACCTTGGAAGCGGCGTCGAAGTTGGGGAAGGCGGCGCCGACCATGCGGAAGAAGGCAGTCATGACGAAGGTGACGACGTATACGACGAACCTGTCAAAGCGTGTTAGTACGACTCATTCACAAGACAAGCTTCCATCGCCTACCATGCAGTAAAGAAAGCAGCAGCTGTAGCCTTCAAAGCCACCATCCAATACAGCACTACCATAAACATAGTGACTTGGAAGAGTAGAATCGGCACATCGGCTGCGATCTGGGCGATACAGAAAGCTGCCGGGTTGTAGAAAGCGAAGTTCTTGTGTTTGGCGAGGATGGGGCGACCGAAGAAGCTGTCCGTGACCTCCGACATGGCCAGCAATGCGTTGAAGAGGAGAGCCAAGAAGAGAGCTCCTCCCTTGACGAACAGACCAGATGAGGTCGCGGGGGCGTTGTAGAAGAGCGAACCGGCGATCTAAAAGCGGAGTCAGTCATCGATTCAAATACATCTTGTGACGCTACATAGTAGCTCGGAGAGGAATGGGGAGACTTACGAGTGCCTGGAAGAGTGTAGAACCTTGCTTGATGATGAACGTCGCTTTGTCTCCCCAGAGGATCTGGTATTGCCGAGCCACACAGGCTTTCACCTGGTTATAGAACGACACTGTCATGGGAGATGATGCTGGAAGATGCTTCGACTTGTCTATTGCCATAGCTTCGACGAAGGACTGGGTGTTCGACTTTGCGGCGTCACTTGTGGGATATGACAGTTCTTGTTCCATGGCAGCCTTGATGGAAGACCGTTGGTAGGCCTGCTCTAGCTCAATGTTGTTGCGTGGGAAGCCTTCAAATCCGGATCTGATCTGTCGCTCAGATGGTACTGTCACACCAGTGAGGAAGTCGGCAACGTTCGCACCCTCGCTGCACACGAAGCCCTGCTCTTCCATGAAGGGTCGAGCTTGTTCGCGAGTGCCGTAGAAAACTTGCTTGCCCTCGTCGAGCACGAGGACTTTGTCGAAAAGGTCGTAGATACCGTTGCCTGCCTGGTATAATGTGACGATTGTAGCAATGCCCATCGCGTCTGTCAAGCATCTGAGAGCACGAGTGTACTCTAGAGCAGTGCTTGCGTCGAGACCACGTGTGGAATTATCCTGTGTCATGTCAGCGTCCATCATTGCGGATCCGAAGGAACTTGTTGTCCTCAGCTTCAAGGATGGTTGGTGAACTTACCCAGCAGGCTACGCTGGCGCGATTGGCCAAAGTCTCGATGATAGAGACTCGCTTGCGCTCTCCGCCAGATACACCACGGACAAAGGCGTCGCCGACCTTGGTGTCCTCGGTGTGCGATATTCCCATAGAATCCATCAAGAATGACTTGAACTTCTGGCGATACTCCTCGGGAGTTGCGGAATCCCTCGGAAGCGTACGTGGGATGTTCAGCCTTGTAGCGAAGTCCATAGTCTTGCCTACTGTGAGCGTAGGGAAGAAAAGCTCCTCTTCGGTGTTGATGACGATGTTGCCGCGGTATTTTTTGGCTTCCTTGGCGTCCATCGAGCCAAAGTGCACATCGCCTTCGACTTGTGCGTACCCCTTGCGCTTGTTGGCGAGCATCTTCAGCAAGGTGGTGCATCCAGATCCAGGCCTTCCTAGCACCAGCAACATCTCGCCCGGCTGTACGCTGCCGAAGCTGTTGTCGAGGATGGTCTTCAGTTCTGGTTTTTGTCGCGACTCCTTGATCTGCTGTGGAATGTTGAACTGGCTGAGCACATTCTCCTGCAAACGTGCGTCCGAAGGCACCACTTTGACAGTGAGCCCGCTCCATGTAACACCAAGTCTTCGTCCATCGGTTGGATCGTTTTGCTGGAGATCCTTCACATCGCTTGCCAGCCTCCATTCATCCACCTTGGTCTTGGCGGAATCGCTGTCTGCACTGTCGTCTTCTCGTTGGATGTTATCGTCTTGTCTTGATTTGCCGGAAAATGTGCGGGATAGTGTTCGCATGATGTCTTCACCAGCGCCGGAAGGTATGTTCATACCGCTGCTCCTCCTACGGCCCTCCATTTTGGCGTTGATCGAACAGTCTGTCCAGGATTCTCGTCTTTCTGAGATATGATGATAGTGACTAAAGATCGGATCCCGGAATTAGAGGTGAAAGCTTCAAGCAGGTACTACTCAAAAGAATATTGGGGTTGTAGTGATATACATGAGCCTATGGGGACTGCTGTGGGTCCTGATCGATTAGAAAAGTCTAGGGAGAGTCGGGCGTCGACATTAGCGACTCCGAGCTTACTGACGTCGCAGGCGCAATTGCGTGCATTACTTCCTTCAACGGACGAAGCAGGGGCTCACACGAGGCAGGAAGCCACGGGCACCGACTGCTGCGGAACGACTGCATACGGCCAAAATTCGGTCATCTTGATTGGTTCAAGAGGCTATCCAGGCAGCAAGTGCAGATTCGGCAGTCTAGACTGCCCTGATGCTAGATTCAGGGTCAACTAGAGACAAAGTCCCTGCTTCCTGTACTGGGCGCTGTTGTAGCGGGGCGGAGCTGAAATTGGTCCTGATAGCGTTTCTTAGCGGATGGTTTGAGGATCGATTCGGGCTCGGCCGAACGCCTGAAGCACCGAAGAGCGACCCAAACCCGTGAAAATGGTTCCACCAGGGCCTCAATGTGTCGGACATGCTCTCCGCGAGGTTTCAACTAATCGTAAAGACAGATTTGTAGCCATCGGCATGTGGAGGGCCACACTAAAATGTCGATGTGCTCTTAATGCTCGCTGTTCGTACCTTCGAGTGACCGGCTTGTTGTGCGAAATCAGTATCCACACTCAACAGATTGCCGCTTTGCCTGATCACAAATCCTACGCGTTTCGACGCGACAACCTTACTTTCGTACATGTCGTACATAGTACCGTACGTGCCGTACATTGCTTGTACGAACATGCGGGCGAAAGGTTGTACCGGTCGCCATCAGGGCCGATTACAGCGTGCGCTCAAGTACCGAGCGATGCGTCATGAATTTGTCGAAGCACGACACCGCTCGCGCGCAAAAGACCGAATACCGATGACGACAGTCAGCAACGCTTGCGTGTAAAGACGTTCTGCTGTTCCATGGATGGCGGTGCAGAGCGGAAGTGCGGAATGTGTCTGGAGGCAGAGAGCGGGTTCCGCGGCGTCCGAATTCGAGATGGCGCCAAGGTGCTTGGCATTGATTCACCCACCAGATAGCAGTGCACGTTTCAACACCTTCGCTCGAGATTCAAATAGACGAATAGTGTGACTCACGAGGGAAGTGTTACAGGGTTCGTATACAGTAAGGGTCTTTAGATACCGGTTAGCAACTTTTCGTCCCCCAGATGCGCGCGCGGACGTCATCGCATGCGACCCCGATCGTCGGGATCGGACGGCGTGTACCAAGGTGGCTGCCGTCCCGTCCCAGGATATGCCCATGGCATACACGCATCCTTGAACGCCAGCAGCTGACACACCTTGTCGCATACCTTGCACCATCATTGGGCACTCGAACAGCTCCAAATAAAGCGCACCTACCTGAACGCCTAAGGGGTCACATATTGTATACTAAGGTCAGCGGAACTCCTGGAAGGTACCGCAGAAATCAAGAAAAGGGATGTTCACCGTCATCTCTGTGAATGCTGCTATACACTGTCGTGGGCCTTCATATCTGAGCAGACAGTGGAGGTCAAGATGCCACTAACCTTGTCAAAGTAAAGTTGCATGCAGCATGCTTTTAAGCGAGCAAATTTGACCAACCCCTCGTTCTACTCCACGAAGAGACTCATCCCATGCCGTCGTTTGTGCAGGCAGCATTATGGTAAATTCGAGGATATAGAATGTTTTGTGAGCCGAACTTCCATCAAATCACGTGAACCAATCCTTCACTTTGAACATCAGCATCGGTGGTTTAGTGGTAAAATTAGCCGTTGCCATCCATCTTGGACAGTTTCGGCTAGCCCCGGGTTCGGTAAGTTTAGATCGTCCACTTCATTCGATCCATTGTTCTAACAACACGATAGATTCCCGGCCGATGCAACACTCGCTTTCTTTTTGCTGCCACCCATCTGTGTACGACAATACTTTTTGCTCTTGTTTCATCTCAATTACTGCGGGCTGTACCCAGCACATTGCAGAGAGCGCGTTTAAGGCTGCAACCAATGCGATCTAAAACCTCGTCCGCACTAGACAGCTTTACGCCTCGTTTGTGTTAACCGCGCTTTCCTTCTAGTAGGACGTACGCGGTGGACCGAAAAGCGATATAACTTCCAATAGTCTTACAATAATCCTATCACCATGGCGTGTAGGAATGCCAGCCCTCTTCTTCGCCTGCCCCGCGAACTGCGCGATCGGATCTACACATACGCCCTTCACGAGTCAGACGGCCTCATTTTCCATCGGGAAGATGACTACAAGGCATACTTCTGTACCGATTGGCGCCAACCACGGGACGCCAATCAGCTAAAGTACACTTGCTGGCAGCTTCGCTCGGAGACACTCAAAGTCGAATGGCAGCTCAATGACCTCGTCTTTCTGTGCCACCCGGAACGACGCGGCAAGTTTATGGAAAGAACACCCCCTGTACAGCTCTTAGGCTTCCTAGATATGTGCAGTGAAAGTTGGAGACAGCAAATTCGTTGCATCGTTCTGTTGGCTCAAGAACATTTTGGGAACTACGGCAGCCTCTCAGATTTGAGTCGCCACGTCCATGATGTAAACCTCGTCGCCCTCACCAGCGAGAACTATCCTCACATGACCGTGAGATGGCACCTCAATCTTGAACAGAACTCGCTGAGCGATCTTATCATGTACGGCCTCGTAGTAGTACGAGGTCTTCGTGGCAATGTCGTCGCCGTAGAGAATATCCTCAAAGAGCTAGGAATGAAACCCGAGTCTGTCAGAATGGGGTCATTCTTGCAGTCTTGGTGTCGCGAATGGAGGCGCTGCTGTGGTTTCAATGCGTACGAGAACGTACTTCCGGAGAGAAGATTCCGCATCATTCCTTTCGGTGAGATTATGGACGCAGAAGACGTTCGCATGAAGATGGGCTGGCGCAAGGCTGAAGATGATCCCACTCACTGGGATGCTCCAGGGGCCGTAGGTGCTCACTTCTTCGAGAAGCGTCTTGCTCTTGCGATGGAATGGGCAAGAGATGGGTTCTAGGAGGATGGCAAAGCATTGTTGTCGATCGTCCCGCGCTTTATCGCAGTCCTTCGTCATGGCTTCGGCACTCAACGATATTTATCAGATCTAACTAGATCGCTATCTACTTATTCGTTCACTACTCCTTCCCGGCCTAGTGGAGACCAGCTGGGCGCGGCTGCGCGTACTCAGAATATGAGATCTTCTCAGCCTTGACTGCGGCTCTTGAATCGGTCTGGAGTTCTGGAGGGTGTTCTGTCGATTGTCTTTCATTCATCGCATTGTCTTTGTGCGCATGACAATGGCTCGTGCGCACTCTTTGTGGGCATTCCAACTCCCACACAACTTGCGTTCCAGCTTTTCTTTACGTGGTTGTATCATCGCCCCATTTCCAAATCGCATTTCCAAAGCCACACAATCTCTACACCCCGAACGAATATACTATCACACAGCCTTGATGCAGAAAGCTGCAAGCGCTCTCGCCATGTCTCATTACACGCCTCAACCCACCAAGGCCAAGTCCCATATAGCTCCGCTCGTCAAAATATACGTGTGGCGGTGTCCGAACGAGAGCTGCAATCATGCCAACGAGACAATAGCTAGCGAGGAGGGCAGAATTAGAGTAATATCGAGTGGTAACGAGCTCCGAGAGCCTATGTGGTACACTAGGAAGTGCGAGAAGTGTAGCGAAGAAGCTGGTAGGGGATGCTGTCTTCTCGAGGTCAAGCTCCTTCCGCCTGAGGATGAAGCGAAGGTGAAGAGGAAGAGGAAGAGGAAGGCGCCAGTGGAGGAGGACATCGAAGGGGAGCGCTGAGGTGATATGGCATCTACTCGGAAGCTCAATATATCAATTTTGCTACGTCGACGAAGTGTATGCGGCTTGATGTAGTAAGAGTTGAGGGATTCATCTGCTGGGGCGCCCATGTCGCCTTTAGGCTGGTTGTTGGTCTGAGAATGTCATCGTCTGCAACACACGATAACTTCCTTTGTTTTCTAAGCATAATCATGATGGCTGATATCGCACGCGAGATGGTTCACATCGCGATGTGAACCCTAATCACTTGTATCGTTGAGAACGCGTCCAGATCTCCGATGTTCGGGTTCTCGCGTCGTGCTAAGCCGCATCCGTCTTCGCACGTTCTCCGGACGCGCAGGCAGGCGCAAACCTCTACTGACGTACCGCTTGAGAGCCAGAGCTATCAACCCCCATCGATTGTGATTCACCTGTAAGAACTGGAAGCTTGTGGGGTAAAGAAGAGGGGGCATGGACCTCAACACTCGGTTCCAATACAAGCAGGTAAAGAGGAAGCCATCTCTTGCGGCCCACGTTCACCCTCATTGCGCAGCCGCTGCAGCTCTCAGGTTCCTGCAGCTGATTACACATCATCGAATCCAGGAGTGCGGCTTCCAAGGTTATTTCTCCGGAATGGCTCCTCCAGCGTTCGGCGCGGACTCAGCCGACGTAGGATATGGGGCCAAGATGCAATGCCGAAACATGCCTTATCCTATTTTAGTTGCCATTGGTTGGCTAAATGCGCTGCACGGGGCTTTGGACACCACCTGCACTCCCACGACTCTCCATCAGCATATCCGCGCCAGCAAGAGTGGGCGATTGTTGTCGTGGCGACCTGTCATGAATCGCTCTAACAATACCTGTTCCTTCGGCAAGGTTGTGGAATACTCATGCGCTTGTTAGGTACTGCCAACACAGAATGTATCGCGAATCCATCGCACATCGGCATGTGCAACCGAACACGGGCAATCATGGACAGAGAACGTGGTTCAGGACACCGCCTTTCGGCACATGCTGGGAGGGGCCGCTCCTCAATGCGAGACTAGCCCTGAAGCAATCAGGATGAGCGTTGAAATTCCCAAGCGAGGAACCAGTGGAAGGGTTCGTCCGCGTTCGCGCAGAGACATCAAGATGGCATGCGCCTCAACGGGAGCCGCACCTATTCCCGCCTATACCTCACGCCACTCGAGTCAGTAATCTCCCGCCCGAGCGAGCTATCATCCATGGCTCATGACTATTCGCCGTCTTATGCGTGCCCAAGCGATTCAGGCAGCAAGGGCGAGAAACTCATGATACGCTCGATTGAGGCCTTGCTGACGGCCGCCTCCACCAGTAGAGGGTTGCGTCGACATGCAAGGAACCAGATTCAAGCTCGGTAAAGGAGTGCCATCTCATCATGTGTCTTGCCTCTCCTCGGGGCCCGATCCCTGTCTTAAGAAATCCTTCCCCCAGTTTTCATCGACTCTTTCCTATCCGAATTGAGAGAATGAAGCACTGTGCAGAGATGCTGTGCTTACTCCTAAATCACCATCTTTTCAAAGAATGCACACTTCATATAACACAACCTACCGAGTGGAGGTTTTCTAGCGCACCAGTTCGCCCACTTTCTTTTGCAACGGCCCACTAAGATGTCTGACCCGAATGCGACGCTCATCGAATGTCGCACCGAGTACGCGATTGGGAGTGCCATCATCGCTGCGAGGTTCTTCACCAGATGGAAGACATTGGGATGGAGAGGCCTCTACTGGGACGACGCCTTCGCATTCACCTCGTGGATCTTTTTCACTTTGATCTATGTTATGGTGGAGTATCTCAGTAAGTTGACTACCGCAAGTCCTTCGGTATTGAATCACTCGACTAACGCCACTCCAGATGTAATGGGTGCGCCTATAGCCATGTCTCAAGAGCAGCGTGAAGCGCTTCCATCTGCAATGCGAAAGTCGATGCGGGAGGGCGCAAAGGGCATGTTCGCCTCTTTCTACTTCTTGATCTTTCTAGTCTGGAGTTTGAAAGGATCTCTCATTATCCTGTTCCTCCGTTTGACGTAAGTTCATATCTGCTTCCAAACAACTGATACTCATTCGTCGGCGCAGGAGAAGCACCAGGCTCTACTATTATGTACAAGCCGTGGCGGGTATCTCGGTCGCTGCGTGTATCGCCGCCATCATCACGCAGACAACACACTGTTTGCCCTTGAGGAGAAACTGGCAGATTCTTCCTGACCCAGGCAAGGAGTGTTCAGCTGGCATTGTGATCAACATCGTGATCGCTGTCGGAAACGTCTTGTGAGTATCAATTTGGAATCCAGTGGTTGCAAGCTGACGCATTGAAAGTGTAGATGCTTTGCTGCTGGTCGTACCGTTGTGGATGTTGAAAGATGCGAAGATCAGCCTCTGGCGGTAAGTCCACGCGCGACCTGGACCCAAGCCAAATCTAACCGGCATCACAGCAAAATTCGCGTCATCTTTCTCCTCTCTCTCGGTCTCTTCGTTATGGGGATGGCGATCGCTCGCTGTATCCTATCTATCGGCTCTTCGGTTGAGGTCGCTCTGTCCTCAGTATGGGCACAACGCGAAGCTGCAAGTCTCACTACCTTTGACATGCCGCATTGCGATGATATCTAACAACTTCGAACAGATAGTGTCCATTTTTGCAGTCAACGCACCCGTCATCAACAGCCTGTTCAGAGCAGAGACGTGGAAGACACGGCACTCTTCCGATGGCTACGTATCGAAAGAGTCCAACCGATCGCGATCGAACACAGGTACATTGGAAAAGATGAAAAAGAAAAAGACTGGCTTCGAGATCTACAAGATGACGGATATCGAGACGAAGATGACAGACATCGAGACAAGCAGCAAGGAGAGCATGGAGGAGCTGTTCAAGGACCCCATGCTGTCTCCAGTGCCCTCTCATTGGAGATGTTCAGCGCGTGGAGGGAGTCAAGATGGTCGTCCTGGAAGTAAGAGCATGGTTTGAACGATGTCAGGGCGAGATATATGCCCCTTGGGCCATCGCGACAGCGTGCCGTTTGGCGCTATTCTACAACATATAGCTTTCCTCCGCGGAGAGGCGAGGACGTCATGCACGGCTTCTACAGAAGCTCCTGATGTTAACAGCGATTACATATTTTTAATAGAGACGACACACATAACTCGCAACTTTCGTTTCCATCTAGAACACCTCGTTACAGCTGACGGCGACTTGATGCCCACGACAGTCAAAATCATCCCACTTGAGCCGTTGAGATTATGACCTGCAAGATAAGGCCAAACCCAGCAATAGCAGCGACGACGGTGTCCCGAATTGAGTCATGGGCATGTGTTAACGTACGCTAAGGATCAACTCCCTGAGCAACCCCACATGTGCCAAGCTCTTATTGCCGTCCGCGGTAGGCGAAATCCCGTGGGATGACTGGGGTCTCTGGGAAGTGGACCTGAAGAGTCGTGAATTTGTGAATGTGTAGTAAACAACAGAGAAGCATGAATCATGTTGACGTTCCTTAAGTACTGTTCGCTATCCGTCCGTTCGGAAGACTATCATCTCATACGCGAAACTAAACACCACCTAACATACACATCATGACATCTATCATCAGCACCTTGGACGCGATCCAGCCCTCACAGTTCTCCACGGACGCCGAGCGCTTCGAAGCCAAAGAAGCAGCGCGTCGTTTACTAGCCCGCCTCGAAACGCCATTCGAGCAAGGCTGGAGACTATCTTTCGAAACACCTGTACTCGTAGCTGGTGTTCAGACTATTCTTGATCTCGGTATCTGGAAGAAATGGAGGGAAGCCGACAAGAAGAATCCTGGTGCGCCAGTGCACTTGGATCAATTGCTGGAGTGGGCGAATACGAAGGCTGAGCCAAACTTGTTGCGTGAGTGTATGCCATTGCGAAAAAGAGGTGTAGTACTGATTTGTGGGCTATAGGAAGGTTTTTGAGACACATCGCGGCTCTTTACGTATTGGAGGAGACAGACGTCGATACCTGGAAGCCTACACCCTACTCGCTTTCTCTCGGCGACACGGTATCGCATACCGACCAGATCACAAAGTGCGGGTGCGTACAACCCAAACCCCCGATTTACACACAAAGGCATCCAACTAACCCAAGTCCAGTATCGACCATACCATCCCCACTGGATGTAATCTCCCCGGCTTTCTCAAAAAGTACAACTACCGCGAACCCATCGACCTGAGCCAGCTCGACAACTACCGCGACATGACAAACGGAACAGACTTCTTCGCTACTTGCGCGGCGGATCCACAAGGGAAGGGAAGTAGTTTCATGGGTCTGATGACCGCGTTGCGAAATCACAAGATGGACTGGACGGACGTGTACGACACCAAGCGAATCGTAGATGGCGCGGAAATAGAAACCGGGAAGCCATTGTTCGTGGACATTGGTGGCGCTCACGGCCTCGATACTTCGCGTCTGCTGGATAAACATCTTGATCTGCCCGCTGATGTCTTGATCCTACAAGACACCCCAGAAGTCGTAGCGATGCCAATCGAAGACTTGGACAAGAGGATCGTGAAGCAGGCTTACGACTTCTTCACCCCGCAATCCCAATTGCATGCACGCGCCTACTTCTTCCACGCCGTACCGCACGACTGGCCTGATGCGGACTGCGTACGCATGTTCTCGCAAGTCGCCGCTGTGTTCAAGCGAGGATACTCCAAGCTCTTGGTCTACGAGGTCGTGTTGCCGAAGAAGGGTGCGACGAACTTGATGACGACGCTTGATCTGCAACTCATGAACTGTACGAGTGGAATGGAGAGGACGGAAGAGCACTGGGCGCGGTTGTTGAAGGAAGCTGGGTTTAGGATTGTAGAGATAAGTCGGCATCCGAGGGCGGTGGAGAGCGTCATCGAAGCGGATTTAATGTAGTTGTGAGCTTGTCGCCCCAGATAAATTCAAACTTCAAATTCCCATGCCACTTGAACGCATGCCCTAATCGGATGATTCTGCCCATGCAGCCCAGCATCTTCAGCTCTGCTTCTCCACTTCCTGTTGAAGTAGGAAACACAATGGTGTTTAATGTCAATGGCATGTACATGGTTTCGCACGAAACCATTTGGCAGGTTTGTAGCAATCCGGCGCCAATCTTGGAGACGTCGAATCGACCGTGCTGCTTGTCGTAGGGTAGGCGATTTGTATCCGAAGTGAGAGCGTAGATATAGATCATGTTGCGGATTTCGCCTGGGAGGGAAAGGAGCGGTGATGCTGAGACGGCGGCTTGGTGTGCGGCTGGAGTGGTGTGAGAGGAAACTGGAACCAAGATCTTGAGGTGAGTTTTTGGTGGTCGTCTTCTCGGCTTGGAGACCTTGGACGGATTTTTGAAAGAAGATCGTGTGGTGGTGGAGGGGTTGTGGCCGTCTGGCTCAGAAAGCTTGGTTGCGACTGATGACTTCTGGATGAGCTTTGAGGCATACGAGCCCTCCCTCGTCGGACTGTTGCAGGATGTATGCATGGTACTGAGGAAGTCGATGTGTGGTGTGATGGTGTTGGTGTTGGAAAGAGGATGATGTAGGCTCTAGGGCTATATATAAAAAGTCAAGAGGTGAGTAAAAAGTTGCTTGTAGTCTGCAACAATGCAAGATTATTTCGCTATTGTTGGAGTTGGACAATAGCATTACGGGTCACTGCTCGCTACCATACCGCGGCGACCAGTTCACCTCCACTTCTGCCACTGTCATTGCCTACAATAGTCAGCACGGACCCTATTACAGCACTCGAATACAATACTCACAATATGACTGGTTCGAACAGATTTCGTACTTGACTTGCGCCGCCCTCAAAGACACTCCAGGCATGGCGCCATACATACGCAGCCCGCAACTCGCAGTGAGCGCGCGCGTCTTGATTTACACATCCATAGTCGGCACCAGCAGCTCCTTCAAAGCGTCACCGCGCTCTTCTGGCCCGCAAACGTGCTCTCCTCAAATTCAATCTTCGTGATATGCTGGCCGGGGACAACAATGAGTCCGACGTAGCGACTGTTCCAAGCGACAGATGCAGATGGATTTCCCGACTCTTCCACCGCCTTGCGAATCGTCTCGGCTGATGGCGCACGGTACTCGTGTGCGAGTGCAAGAATGACATTACGGTCCTATGTCAAGTTAATACAGCAGGACTCCCCACTCGTCATGACCTCGTACTTTGTCTGTGCATTTCATCTGGCCTCCGAATACTCGCCCATCACTGGCGTGTATGCGCAAGTTCTTCCCGATGAACTGGCTCAGCCAGAAGGTGGCTTGCTCGTTGTCCATTTTGGTGGTCTTCTTGGCTCGAGGGAAGAGCCAGCTGTAGCGGTTGGTCCTCCTAGGGGCTAACATTTCGCTTGCCGGGAAAGAGGGACCGCAATGTGGCTGTGTAACACCTGAGGCTGGAGTCGTGGCTGCCTGTCGGAGAAAGCGAAAGTGCCGCCGACATGGCTTGGCGCGTTTGACGCGTTTGCGCCAAATTTCTGGACTTTGCCCACGCCATGCGACCAGGGCATTCAGCACACACCATACCATGTATTCGATACGGCGGGGCTGCCAATCGGCATTGCTACGATCAGAAAACATCTGCCTCCACGCCAATGGCTCAAGACGCGCATTCTCGCGCACTGCAGTGAGCCAAAGAGGTCCGCATCACTCCCGAATTGCCTTCGTATATACACTCTACTAATGCGAACATCAGGCGCTCTCCCCAATTTCCTCCCACCGTCTTCTCCCGAACTATCCAAGCTCTTATCAACCTTCAACTCCCAAATCCTCCTCCCCGAACACTTGACCAAAGAGCAACAGAAGCTCGTATACTCGCAAGAAAGCCGCGCAAAACTCGAAGCCGAGCCTATAGAGATTACCTTGGGAGAGGTCACCCTGCCTCTTGAACACCTCGACCGCAATAGGCTACCGAATCGTTACAAGCGGCTCAGGGAGATTTGTAACCAAAGCGAAACCAAGGAGGACTGGGAGAATGTTGTCAGATGCTTGGAGGGATTCCAAGAGGCCGGGATCAAGGTCCACTGGCAGTGGCAGGAGCTCGTTATCAGGAAGTTGAACCTTGCAGGCATGCAGCATCTTGTTCTGAAGGCGTTGCAAAGAGCAGAGGAAACCGGCGTCAAGCTGAGCAATTACGGTGTTTTGCGTGCGGTGTTGAGGACTGTGCACGACAAAGCGGCTCTGGCCGATTGGGCACAGGACGATACAATCAAGGCGCACAAACTGGCGAAGCAAGTGGTGGAGCTCATGGAGGATGAGCAACACTATGTAGGCAAGAGACCGGTGAAACCGCGCGGAAAACCAGACAAGTTTGCCGAAGGCGACTACAGAGGGAGGCCATCTGTGGTTGCGCTGCCGACAGAAATGGCTGCTGTACTCGCCGACAGATACGGTGGAGACAAAGAGGAGGTCAAGAAACTTTCTAGCCGCCTGGTCCACGCGTTACAGCAGAGCGGATACACGGTACATCTTCCCCCATTACCTTCCTGCATATGCGGACCAATACTGACAAAATGTTCCAGACATCACTAGATGCTATATCTAGAAACTCCGACAAGAGAGCCACTGATTTCGTAAACGTCACCAAACTTTTGGAACACATCACCGACCACTGCTACGAACTTCTTGAGGTACTCATCATCTGGAACGCTCTTAAGACGTCTGGCAAAGTGCTCGGCGCTGAAATGCCCATGTCAGAAGAGGCACAGACGTTCGAGACTAGAACAAAGCTAGTATTGATCGAGGGTGTACGGTCGCTGGACGACATGTCCAAAAACAAGGAGGGCAAGCCGCTGATGCCGGCATATGTGCGCTACATCAAGGACACTGTTGAGAAGACCCAAGGAGAAAGTTACGCATAAGAGGACTGGGCGTCAGAGCCAGCGCTGTAGTTGAGAAGCTGTTGTGTAAGCTATAGCATGTATCATAGCACTGGACGAATAAGGGCCGCATCTTTGCCAGTCTAGAACTGTAAATGTATATCAACTCGAAGACTACCCAGAATGCATCCCTCTCCGATGGACATCGTATGCTGCCAGTAGATCGAGGTCATCGAAGACAGAGATGTCGTAATATATTGTTGAACAAACGTCATGCAGCACGGCAAACAGCGTGCCCATTCATTCCATCCCCATTGACCCAGCTATCCGACTTCTCCATAGAAGATAGCGCAGAGCCGCACCTATCCGCCGCTCACCCGACGCACCTGCCCAAGTCACATGCATCGTGTGGCACCAGCAAACAGCCTCGTCGCTCCTACCTCGCTCTTACCCCGCCCCCGCTTTTGTGCCTTATAGCCTGTGTGCCCCGCCACCTTTTCTTCCCCTAGCCTCAATCACGCCATATCCGCCAAATCAGCATCGACGACCATGGTCCAGGTACGCCCCCAGAGTTTTACATGGGTTTCCTAATACGGTAGACTATGTCGATATGTAAATTGGATTTAGTCGAGTAGGGCTGACGATGCGGTAGAAGCTCGAGTACTCGGTTGAGGAGCCGCTGAATCGCGAGCCGGAGCTTGAGAAGCTGGTTGAAAGGTACGTCTAGTGTTCATCGCATGTGAGGGTGAAGGAGACTGTGCTGGGAAGAGACGATAAGAGGCGCCAGTAGGGGACCAGCCGTTCACGCACGGCATCCTGAAAGTGGGCTCAGTCGATCATAACCCTTGGATCCAGGATACCCACAGTCCAATTTCAAGATCTACGCAGTCACGATACTGATACAGTCTACAGCTTCATCACCAAAGACGGCTACGACCGCAATCACGGACCCATTCCCCACATCAATGCGAGCACACACAAAGTCTCCGTTACCGGACTCGTCAACAATGAACTCTCGCTTTCCATCGCAGATCTCGAAGCACTTCCTCAGCATACCGTAATATGCGCACTACAATGCGCCGGAAACCGTCGTCATACCATGCGTACAAAGTTGAAGGAGGTGTCTGGAATTGACTGGTTCGATGGCGCAGTCATGAACTGCAAATGGACTGGACCTCTCCTCAAAGATGTTCTGGAGAAGGCAGGTGTCAAGGTCGATGAAAACAAGCTCAGCGAAGCGCATGTGGCGTTCTCGTGCTACCAGACGCCTACTCAAGAAGACGAGTTCTACGGTGCCAGTATCCCGCTATCACGAGCCATGGATCGGGAGAGTTCGATTTTACTCGCCCTTCGAATGAACGACAAGCCTCTTCCACTAAACCACGGTGCTCCCGTCCGCGTCGTCACTCCTGGTATCGCTGGAGCGAGAAGCGTCAAGTGGCTTGACTCCATCTCCGTCCAACTGACCGAGAGTCAAAGTCACTATCAACAGCACGACTACAAAGTCCTACCTCCAGAGATTGATTCGAAAGAAAAGGCGGAGGGGTATTGGGGCAAGGTCGATGCTCTACAAGACATGCCGGTCAACAGCGTCATTGGAATTCCCAAATCGGGTAGTACTGTGCAGCGAGACGCAGATGGGACGATTGAAGTCAAGGGTTATGCACTGCCTAGTGGTGCAGATGGGCCCATCGTCAAAGTCGAAGTCAGCACCGATGGAGGAGCAACATGGACAGAAGCAGAGTTGATCAAAGCCTACGAGGGCGAGGATGCTCAGGATGTTGAACTCAAGTGGGCGTGGGCATTGTGGAAGGCAAGGGTCAAGGTCGAGAAGGGCAAGGATGTTGCGATATACAGTCGGGCGACAGACAAGAGCGGCAATGTGCAGGAGAAGTGTCCGAAGTGGAACTTTCGCGGCGTGGCGTATAATGGGTATGGAGAGGCTTCTGGGTTGGAAATTGTCTGAAGGTCATAGTAGGATGGCTGGACGGACGGTGTGGTAGATTGGGCTGATTGTGTGCTTTTGGTATCCATATGGCAAGAATAGCGTGGCTTGACTTTCGCTAGCGATACACGTTCAACCTTGTAGCATCACATGAACCTTGTCGCTTGCGGTATATTCCTCCTGAAAGATTCATGGTATTTTTCTCTGAATATGACCTACAAATACCCAGCACCGAAAAGACTCCTAATACGCTATGCATCCATTATTCGTGATTTCCACTCTCCATCTCAAATCCTTCACAGCCCCAGACTCTTCCGCACATTCGTCCGTACAATCTTCTCATACTCGTCGCGCTTCTCCCGCCACATGCGCGCCGCATCTACATTTGCTGGACTCTCGTCGTTTGGCTCCGCCAACATGCTCATGACGCTTATCAGGATCTTCTCGACGCTTTGTATGGGCGACCATCGTTCCGAGGCTTGTTCGTAGTGCATGGGGTCTTCGCCGGGGGCGTGGAGGATGGATATACAGACTTCGCCGTTGGGGTATACTGTTGGTGGTGTTAGCTTCAGTGCTTCAAAACTCATGCTTCTCGCATCTCGCACATATGAATGAGAGTGTCTAGTGCAAGATCGCAAGCATGTCCACATTGTCAAACATACCATTTGGATGCCACATCTCCGTCATAAACTTCATCTTCGGCGGCGCAAGCGGGTAGTCTTTCGGGAACCGTAGTTCAGCGGGGAAGACGCCGCCTTCAAAGGGCGTGCCTTCCGGGCCTTGGATTAGCGCTTCCCACACGAACATATCGTCTTCGCTGACTGGGCCGGCGGTAATGCCTTCTGGCGGGTCGTTCGAGAGCATGCGGTATTCTTTAAAGAGGCGCTTTGAAGCTGAGGACGCCATGTTGTGTGTTGGTCGGAAGCGGGGGTGTATGGACGGGAGTGAGGGGGGTCGCTCGTGTGCGCGGGGTGGGTTTGGGTTGCGGAAGGTCGGAGTCTTGGTCGCGAAGTAGGGGTATCTGTTTGGAAGCGAGTTGGAAGGCGCGCTGTGCTTCCAACTATGGGGTGGAACAAGTTGTAGTGTGTTTAGTGGTTGAGTGAAAGTGTTCCGGACGGTGAATGACGACGGTTCCGACACATCGGCTTCGGTGACGCGGTTTAGCGCCTGGGCACGTGCCCAATCCCTTGCTAGCCACGTGGGCAGGTACACGCATGGCAAGCACGAAGAATTACACCTAACAGTGTCATTGTATGCTCCAAGGCTTATCATCACTCGGAGTTTGGACACAGCTACCTGGTGAAGATTGGGCCACAGCGTTCATATTGAAAATGGAAGATTTATTACAAACAGTCTTGAGGTATCATCATCTATCGCTAACCAAACACTTCAATCATGAACCGGTACTCAAGCTTCCTGTCCTCATTCCTCGCCCTGGCACTCAGCATGGTGCACTGATCGGCAATCTGTTGACCGATAACAGGTGGGCCACAGAAGAAAACACCAATCTTGATCTCATCATCCTTGTTGCCATCTTTCTCGTTCAAACGATCTGCCAACACCTTGCTCATATCGTCATAGTGTGCTTCCATAATGCCCCGAATGTCCGGACGTCCGAAATGTGTTGGGTTGACAAGACCAGTGATGGGCGATTGCGGGTGCTCATCTGTGCGATGCTTTTCGAGTAGCCATCGAAATACGTGTTGGGAGATTTGCTTGCGCTTCTGCGTTACGTAGGTGTTGATGCGGATGTCGAGATCTTCGCTGTTTGGTTTCTGACGGAAGACTTCATTGAGGAGATCGGAAAACCATAAGAGGTTGTTCTTGTCGCGGACCATCCAATGTAGGTCGACTCGACGATGGTTTGTGTACGGCGAAGGCTCTTTGGGGGTTTCGTCGGGTGATGCTGGGGAGTCGTTCGCAGATTTGACGCGCTCGAGCTCGTGGTGTTGGAGATCGGTCAGTACACCCGAGAAAGGCGTTATGCCAATACCAGCACTGTAATATGTTAGAAAAGTTGGGGTTGAAATGAAACGTTGACGTACCCAAAGACCATGCTGTATTCGAAGTCATAGAACCGCTGAGCTGGTGCACCGAATGGTCCATCAAGACCGATCTTGATAGTCTTTCGTCCGCCTTCTTTGGCCAGATCGCGGAGCGAGTTTGTCCAGTCACCGTCTGCTTTGATGTGAACTTGCATGGTGTTATTGATGCAAGTTGACACGGTGAAAGGATGCCACTGGAACCGGGATAGTTGCGGAACTTGCACAAAAACGTATTGGCCAGCTTTGTAGTCCCACGGGCGAGTCTTGGGTACTTGCGCAGTAATGGCAACAGTCTCGTCGTCTAGTAACTCGAGATCCGCAAGGATAGGGCGGAAGCTTAGGATCAGGCGCCACACACGTTCGCACAGAACCATGATGGTGGGAAAAGCGAGCCAATAGCCGAACATGGGCCATTGCAGCAGATGGGCAGTGCCGTGCGCCATCATGAAGCCAATAATGGGAAACATCAGTAGATGAGCTAACTGGAAGACCTCGTAGCTCCACTTTCGTATCTGGGGCATGCTCATCAATGCGAGGAGGTAGAACAGGCCGAGAGATGTGAGACCAGTCCACCCTGGCAATGATCGAAGGTAGTCAGTGTATGAGCGTGGTACAGCGTCCTGTCCGACGACAATGGCAACTGCGTCCTGTCGATTGGGCTTACTTCCAAAGACGAAAGAGCCGCTGAGGTGGCCAATGGCATGTAAGGTCGCGAATATCAATGCGACGATGGACATTTTGATGTGAAAACTCTGCGACAAGTCCCAGTTGATGAACCGGGAGATGAAATAGAAGCGCCGAAGGAACGTCGAGAGCCATCGTGACATGGATAGGATAAGGAAGAAGAATGTCGGGTACAGCACACCCGCGCATGTCTTGGACAAGACAGCTCCCCATCCGAACGCAGGCGTGTACTGATCGAAGGTAAGGTACTTGACGAACTGCCAGACACCAAATCCTATCATCAAGGCCAGCACCAGGCCAAGGAACATTATCTCAGGTCCTTTGACGGCCCAGTAAGCACGCGCACGCCGGTGGAGGGGCACCTGCTTCAGGTAATCGTCCTCATCTTTTGCTTCTTTCCGGTCTTGTTCCAAAGACGGTATCTCCCATGTTTTGACAGTCTTTGCGAAGGTCTCTCGGTTGATGTGGTCGTCTCGTGTTCCGATGACATTCCTGAGAAATTCATGTCGAGCCTCGTCGCCCCGAGATCCATGGTGGAGGTTATGTGGTTGCGCTTTGGGTGCTATCTCCTTGTGTACTTGATCCAACTTGCGCTCCAGCTCCCAGTAGTCGACATTGCCATCCTTGTCGTGATCGAGGTCGTCAATGAATTTCTTGATTTCGTCATCCGTAAGGGACTGTTGCGGAGCCATCGACGTCCGAGGAGCGCTGGAATAGGGTATGATCTTCTTGGGAGTAGGTGGTGGATCAGCTGCCACATGTGGCTCAACGGCAACGATAGCCTTTAAGGCTTCCCTTGGTCAGTTCCCTGATCAGCTCATTTGTTTGTTGATGGTCCAGACACGTAGGCCAAGGCCTTGCGATGAAGTGTCGCCAATAAGAAGAATCCATGAACGTGATACCAAGGCGACAAGAGCACCCAAGACGGAGTTGGCGCCGGCGGACGCAACTTGTAACCCTGGCGGAGCGGAACCTGCTTCCTGTCGGACTCTCCGCCTGCTGCACAGCCACTCAGCGGTACGACCAAGACTTCCGCCCAGGTGTTTTGAGTTCTCATCATGCAAGCTTGCGCGTCAGATAAGGACATGTGGAGGAGGTCTTCATCCACGACTTGCATTGGCATCGCCGTATCCGACGTCAAAAACAAGATCTAGAACCAAAGGTCTTTTTCGTGCGCTATGCGAATGATAGCATTGGTCGCATGGCATCTTCCGTGATATGTGCAGTCCGTCGAAACGATTCCTCATCTGACGACCTAGCTGCGATTGCGACATTCCTGGAATGCATCGCTGTCCCAGATTCAAAGAGGTCTGTATAGAGAGCGCACAACGGTTGACAAGACCCAGAAGACTGAAGACGCGTTGAGGGTTGAGAGGCACGGTGCTGGTGTTGCCCAAGAAATCCAGGCTTGGCATGGAACGGTCGGCACGCGCGACCCATAGCTTCGTCATTGTGCTTTTTGCGCAACGCGTACCGCAATCCTTCACCGTTGTGTGATGGCCGAGACATTTTGCAATCACCTCCAGATCGACCCACTCTCGGAAGCGTTCATATCTTCCCGCTTTTAGTCAGGGTCTTCTCTATCTGGCCTAAACGCTGGGTCACGACGTCATTGAAGCCCTGATGTGCCGTCTTTTTACTAGAGAACGAGTCGCCCTGCGCGCGTGGGCTTGCTAAGGCCCCGTAATCGACGATGCGTGCTCGTCTTTCTTTGCGCCACGAAATGCATCCACCCAAGCGTCCTTGTTCCCACGCGTCCAGCATCCCTCCGCTCCTTACCACGGAGCTCCCTCCGTCTTAGTGTTTACAGCAACGGCCTTCAACATGACCACCATGACAGATGCCAGCACTCCCAGCCCGACTGCCAAGACTGGCTCTTCGATACAGCTCACCCATCGCAATGATCGCACCTTCCTCATGGCTGTGGTCCAGTCTCTGGTACGACTAATGCGAACGCGCATCAGCAACCGTCAAGCAGACCACGAGGAAGGGTCAATCCGACTCAAGCCAAAGCAATCGAACCTCTCCCAGTGTACCCTCCACGAACGAACTGTATGCGACATACACATATACGATGTCATACCACCCAACAAAGCAGAAAAGAGCTCGAAGAAGCGGATATACTACTTCGCCGGTGGCAGTTGGCAGGAACCGCCCTCTCCACAACACTACAAGATCTGCGCCAAGTTAGCTAAAGAGATGTCCGATACTTCCATATCGATTGTATCGACACCTCTTGCGCCCAACGACCCCGCGCACAAGTCGTTCCCTGTCTGCCAAAAGACATACCGGGCTTTGATGGCCGAAGCGGAAGAGGCTGGAGAGAAAGTTATACTGGCGGGTGACTCCTCGGGAGCGAATATTGCTCTGTGTCTTGTGCTGGAGGCCCTACAGGAGGATAGCGAGAACGAAGGCGTTGAGATCAAGCATCTCCCACACCCCGTCGCCATCATGAACGTATGCCCATCGACCGACTTGACTCGCGAAAACTCCGACATCGATAAAGTGGCACCTCGAGACCCTCTCCTCACACCCAAGATCATCAGAGCGACAGCGAAAGCATGGCAAGGAGACTGGGACGCCGCCGATCGCCGCATATCCCCTATCAATGCCGACATTTCACTACTCGCGAAAAAGGGCATCAAGGTGCACGGAATAACTGCTGGATGCGATGTGCTAAGCCCGGACGGCGTCATCTTCCGCAAGAAATGCGAGGAACACGGTGTCATTGGCGAGTGGGTGCACTGGGAGAAGCAAATGCACTGCTTCGTTCTGACCATGCCGTATGGACTGGTCGAGGCAAAGGATGCCTGCCAGTGGATCGTAGATGTCCTGAAGAAGGAATGAGTTGGGTGACGATATTTTGTGTCCGAGTAAGAGATACCCTTGCTTTCTGCGCGTGCGCGACCGATTTAGGTATAATAATATTACAGCTTTCTCGCATATCTTCAAACTTGCAGATCACCTCTCGCGCTTTCATACTCAATCCCATGTCATGGATACTTCCTTCCTCTGGCCGCCCGACTTCATACTCCACGCTACCATACCAAGGGTCCATCATTCGGCTCGATCGATCTCAGACTCTGCTCCCACGTGGGGCAGGATGTGCTTGAGCAGGCACTCGGTAATTTGGTGCCGTACGCTCGCCAGCATCCTGCAAGACATAATTGAGCGTGGGTGAGGACGGTGTTATTACTCGACCAACGCCTTCATAGCGGTTGGATCAGCAACGGCGCTGTGGAACACCTGGCTTGCGATGATGCGCCTCAATGTTTGAATGGGTAAGTTCCATCATCTTCAGCGCGTCTTCAGGGCCCGAACGCCCGCAAGTCCCGGGTTGTCGCGTGACCCTCACTCTCCACCAGAGTAAGTTCATCGACTGAGAATCTATACTCATCCTTCGTTTTGCGTGGCTTCGGCCCCCCGCTCCCGAACGTCACAACCTCATCAGTCATGTCCGGTTTCGACCTTTTCCGCCCCATCTCCACAAACTCGTCGCTGTTCGGGCCTAGGAATCCCAGATCCACAAGCCTGTTTCGCACTTGGGTCTCGGTCTTCTCATCGTAGAAGTAGTGACCGGTCCTGACGAGGCTCCGCTGCATAACTAAAGTACGTGTCAGAAGTCGTCTAGCGTACCGTCCGCATAAGTGTCACTTACTACCCTTGAGCGTTGGTATCGTGGCAGCGATCAACGCAAGCTCGAGCTCCAGCATCGACCACAGTGTAGGCGCGACTGTCATGAAAAAAGTGTCACCACCCGGTGGTATCATGCTGGCCTTGACAGTACGCAAGATGGCGAAGGATGAAGCGAACAGCCCAAGGCCCATCAGAACACCGAGGAAGATCTTCTCGCCACGCGGCCGCTGTAGTTTCCGGATAAAGGTTATCGGTATCAGCGATAATACGAGGTCGGTCGAGATATGCACAGCGCTCGCCGCAACGATGTTCCCAACGATGGCTTCCTGTGGCAAGCACTCCACCTTTTGCTTCAGAAAGATGCTGGGATCCCAGTATATGCTAAATGGCCGGCATTGCAAAAACAGGAACAGCGTCGAGGTTATAGTCGTGAGGATGAGTAGTACGATCGTAAAAGACAGGAAGATGCGCCAGGGACGTGTCTGCTTGATACGGAGCAAAAGAAGGGCGACTGAGATTTTGACGAGTCCAATGGAAAAGTTCCAGAGAGCTTGGCAGTAGAAGACGAGTCGCATGGCTGCGAGACGCGAATCTGCCGAGACATATTTTGTCCGCTGGCCGAAGCCATAGGAACATGCTAGGCAGACGATGACATATTTTGCTATCGCAAGGACCTGTAGACATTCGACGTCAGCTTTGTGGCACTGGGGAGTACATTCCGCCTTACAGTTGCTGCAACCGCCGTCCAGTCATCCATGTGCAGATTCCAGAAAGGCCGCACTCTCGACCAAAGTCGTGCAGAGAGTAGCAGGACAGCGAAGAGTGTGAGACTCCCACATACACCGAGAAGAAGAGGCGCCTGAGTATCGTTGCGCTCGTGACCGGGCATCAGCTGTCTAGATCGCAGCTCCATATCGCAAGAATAAAATACGGAATAACGACTCCGCGACAGATTAGAAGAAAGAACTACCCTCAGACGCAGCGTTCACACCTCTCCTTCCTATACTGCCTGCACCGACTGTTTATCAGCATCTAGCCGCCATATCCCGTCATCGCCATCGCATAAACAAGCCTCGTCCCCAATCACACGACCCTTACTTCTCAGGCTTCTAAGCCACACGATCATCGTCTCAATAGCTAGCTTGGTTGGCTCGCATTCTGGCGTTCGCAAATACTGCCCTGTTGGCATAAAGTCGCCGCGTGTCAGATGTGTTTCGCGTAGTCGCTTTCATCCTTGTACCCCACAAACTTATGGTCTCGGATGTGATTCCGAGTTCTGAGGGTTATGCAACTGTTGGTTCGTGTTTGAGGGCTGGGGGAGAGGTCAAATAGTTGATGGCGGTGAAGGTCGAGGATCCAAGGGTGAATGAGTAATCAATGGTGCGGGCCCAGATTTCATGGGCGAACGCATGTCACCAGTACCACAGTGTAGTCCAAAGGACCTTGATGGTCGAAACCATCAAAAATTGTCGGGAGAGGATTGAAGGTCGGTCGGTCTCGCGTTGTGGCCGTGACGCTATACGTTAACTAGGTACATGGGTAGGTCGCGGTCCCGATTCCATTATCTTCATGTGTAGGTAAAACCACAAGCTTCTTGAGATCACGATGTTCTCGCGATCTGTTAGGCCTCGCAGATCCAGGTGCTTTACCACCACGAATGCTCGTCCTCAACTACGTTTTTAGGCGACACAAGCTAGATAGGTCACCGTGGCAGCTTGAGCTAGGCCTGGGTACCTACCTATGTAGGTAAAGTGAATGCGCTAACATCGCCTATCCTGGGCAGATGTGCCTGACAGTGACTAAAAGCAGTGGTAGGAGCTCATTCGGCGGCCCTTGTGTTTGATTAGACGGTCGCTCAACATCGCCAATAGTCCACGGGTGCTATTGGTGCGAAGTTGCCATCGCAAGAGCAGGCAAGCTTCGCTTCCACCCCAATCGCCTATGACGAACCAATCGGTGGCCGACCCCACCCTCCTTCCAATCTATCTTACCTCAGTGTGGCTGTCCGGGTGCGACTGCGAGTGCGCGCCCACGCGATTACGGCAGCCACGGCGCTCTCTGGCTGTGTAATGTTGTGTCGCAAGGCTGAGGCAGGCAAATATAACACCAGGCTGACGCCCATTTTGGAGCAGCTATACATCGACTCTTTCAGAGCCTGCTGCACCTGATTCTCGCTGCCTCTACGGCTAGATTCTTTCGCACGTCGACGGGGTCTCGATACAGTAAACACACTCATGGCGTCACCTTCCGACCCAAACAAGCTCCCGACAAGTGCAACGAATCACATAGCGCGCACCGGATTGACTGTCCTTGCATGCCCTTCCAAAGATGAGGACTGTTTGGTCGAGTAAGCTTGATCTTTTGCCCCGGAGGGAGTTACTGACACCTCTTGGCTAGTATCGTCTTTGTGCATGGCCTGCAAGGTCATCCGAAGAACACTTGGTCGACGCAAAGTCGCCAGCCTGGTCCTGGAAGCCTAGACTCGGACGATGGCCAATCAAACCTCGCGAAACTACAAGGCCTCTTCAGCCGCAAAAGGAAACGTGCAGAGTCGCAACCTGATAATCCAAGCCATGTTTTTTGGCCTCAGGATCTGCTGCCTCAGGATTGCGTGTCTGCACGCATCCTGACTTTTGGATATGACTCTGACGTTTCCAAATTCTTCGACGGTGCGGTAAACAGGAACAACTTTTACGATCATGCAAATGATCTCCTCAGAGCTTTATTGCGAGAGAGGTCGCGAGTTGCTCGAGTGAGTAAAGAGCTTTGAACAAGAAAGTGAAGAACTGAATTGACAGTTTGTAGCAAAGGCCCATTATCTTTGTAGCCCACTCTCTTGGAGGTTAGACAATTGCTTATTTCCCACGACTATTTGTCGCTGACAACCTGCCAGGTATTGTAGTCAAGCAGGTAGCCGACTCATCAGAATAACTTGGTATATGCAGCTCATAACGATTGTGTAGGCCTTGGTCGATTCACAACGTGCTGAGCGTCGGATTGAAGAGAAGTCAGTATACTATCACACAGAGGCTGTGGTTTTCCTCGGTACACCCCATCGTGGAAGTCAGTATTCAAGCTGGGGTCAAATAGCAGAGCGTATTGCACGCGCAGCTATCTTTGATACGAACAAAACGAACCTATCCCATCTGCAGGTCCATGGACTCGAACTGGCGAACCTTGAAAGAGACTTTCTCGTTCTCTTAGATCGGCGAACCTTTAGTGTCTTTAACTTTCAAGAAGCTCTTGGTCTCAAAGGTATAAAGGGTTTCAATGGAAAGGTACGTACATCAAACCATTGCTTCAATTCTAAACAAGTTACAGGTTGTGGAGAATTGGTCGTCTTCGATTGGAGACCATGGTTCAGAGCCATCAGAAAGCATCAATGCGAATCACATGAATATGTGCCGCTTCTATGGAAGGGATGATCCAGGCTACAAACAAGTTGGGGGTGAGATCCAGATTAAAGTTGATGAACTGGTGCAAAAACATCAGGGTAAGACACCCAAGGAGTTTGGTACTGAATGACGATGAATACTCACAATTGATGACAGAGGAGCTTTCGAACGAGCACGCTGGTGAGCCTCACCGAGCGGCAGATACACATATTTGAGTTTCATTAATAGCAATCCAGACTTTCTTAAGTCTCTACTTGGCTGCGTATCAGAGGAGACGTTCACGGGAATTGACATCAAGGACCCTCTCGAAAATACCTGTGAATGGATTTTACGTCGCCACTCGTTCTCCGAATGGCTCAGAGAGGGAGACGGTATCTACTGGATAAATGGAAACCCAGGAACTGGCAAGAGCACTCTCATGAAATACCTTTTTGCAGATCATGAGGGGCTTCTCCAAAAGCACATTCCGAGCTCCAGTCGTCTTGTAAAAGCCGGGTTCTTCTTTCGTAGAACAAGAAGTTGGCCGGAAAGAACAGCGAACAGCATGTTACGTACCATCCTAGCCCAGCTCTTTCAACGCGAGAAGAGGGTATATCAGAAGTCTCTTCCTACTTTGAGAGCTATGAAAAGCCCTCATCGGACCGCCGAGCACATGAAGTGGTCTGATCAACAACTAGGCAGTGTCTTCGACGACATCTGTCAAGGTCAAAGGGATGAAAGTGCTCCCTTGCGATTGTTGATGTTTCTCGATGCAGTGGACGAAAGCCTGGATCGTGAAATGGAAGCCGTCGTGAGTAGTCTACGCAGACTCCTCTCGACCGCTCGCAAGCACAGTGTCTTTCTCGGGATTTGTATCACCAGCCGCCCTCTACCTGAGCTGCGACGTGAAGCCGATCTCGCCTGCGGATGCATCTCGCTACAAAAAGAAAACCACGACGCAATCTACACTTACATTGAGTCGGAGCTAGCATCCAGACGCGATGATCGGCGGGGCGAAGACTATTATAGTAGATTCGCGGAGAAGGTTGCTGAAAGAGCAGATGGTGTCTTCCTTTGGGTTGCACTTGTAGTTCCCAGATTGCGGAGGAAGATTGATAACGGAGGCACAATCCGGGAACTGGAAGCCTTGCTTCAAGACATCCCGAACAATCTGAAGAAGCTCTTCATCGATATCTTGCAGAGGATACCAGGTCCAGATCTTGGGATAACGATGCGGACACTTCAGATTGCCACGCTAGTCCGGAGACGTTTAACTCTAGAAGAGTTCCAGCATGCTTTAGCGTTTCAACCAGGCTCGCCCTACAAGTCCCTGGAGGCCTGGAAACGCTCGTCCGACTTTCTGGAACTTGGTAAAATGCTTATTGCGAGACTTCAGTACTACTCTGGTGGACTTCTGGAGCTTCGCGAGGAATTGGACGTCGAGATTGATCCTGTAACACAATACCAGGAGTTCTTACAAAATTTCCCACCGCAACCGCTCTCACCCGATCCAACGAGACTGAGGCAAGAAACGACCAAGCTACGAGCGGAGGAGAATATTCCTTCGGACATCTATCCAAAATTATTTCCGGAGATGCTACGGAAGTTCACCCCGGGGAAATCGAAGGCTGACACAGAAATCTACGTATCCGCAACCCCACCTAGGAAAACTGTGCGCCGTCGGGTCAAGTTCAAATCCAAGCCATCTCCAATATTCAACATTCCCTCAGCACCTCCAGGCGGACATAGACCTATTCCAGATTTATGTCAGTTCTTGTCAAAGCCCATTCACCACGTCCCTGTAGTTCGCTTCATTCATGAGACAGCAAAACACTTCTTCCGCGAGAACGAGGGCTTTCATATCCTTTACGACTTGATTCTCGCTTCCGAAGCTGCGAAGGCGACACCAAATCCATTCTGCAGCCCGAGCGGTTGCTATCTGACCGGTGGCCACCAGTTCATTGTCAATAGCTGTGCTTCATACCTGAGCATACAAGAACTCAGGCCTGATGTTACAAAGATTCTGACCTCATCAACAAGACCACTGGTTGACGAGTTTCATCTTCTCCAATACATCATCGAGAGCTGGTTCCATCACATACATGCGGCAGAGGAAGGAGGATTAGCTCAAACACACATCCTTAGATGGCTTCTCTATGTTCAGCCGAGTGCGCTGAATCAGTGCATTTGCTGGGCAGGCGAACATGACCTCAGATCTTGGATACGCTGGTGCATTGAGAATAAGGTTGATGTTAATGTTGTCGATGCAACTTTGTTGTCTTACGGACGTCCTATCAGGAGCGCTGTCGCGAACGGGTTCTATGAAGCAGCGAGGCTTCTGATACAGGCCGGTGCGAATGTCAACGGCATTACTGGAGGACTGGAGACTACATTACGAGTGGCCGAGAGGATGAGGAACCAGGAAATTATCGAGCTGCTCAGGGAGAATGAGGGAGTGCTTCGGCAACCGCACTGGCTTCCACCTGAGGGACAGATCGTCAAGTTGTAGGAACAAAATCCCAGGAGGGGTTTCTTTTGCTATACAGTATTCCTTAGCGTATCATTGCACATGTATGAATTCAGAAGAGCAGGTGAGGAGAAGAAGGGTCGCGACGTGCTACCAGTGTATTATGCTGCGTTTCTGTTCCACGCCGCCGCAGTAAGTCTTCCACGCATCCTGGTTTTAGCAGCATGAGCGATCGATTAAAGCTTTCTCAGGCCTGCGCACAAGAAAACAATGCCCTCTTCTACCTCAACCTAGCGGAGCACGCGTTTAGTCTTCTCGATGCCCTACCGACAAATTCCCTCTCGGCATGCAGCGGCACAAGCAAGATGATTTGCAAAAAGGCAACTGGGGGGTGCGCCTGACCGTGAGTAATTGCTCGACAGCCGTCTGTTGATAAAGAGTGAGAATGCTAAGTTTGACGCAGCTCAAGCAGGATGAAAATGACAACGGCATGGATGTTGGACCTTATTTCTTTGTTCTTGCCGAGGCGAGAATGAAGCACGACAAGGAAGAACAACGGATGATGTAGTCGGTTCAGTTTTGGTGGAAGAGGAGAGATTCCCTTCGGGTGCATTCATGATGGGAGACGGTTGGGCTCTGTCTTGTACGCATCCCTGGCTGTGTGGTGACTACGCACTGGCCACTTCAACCTGATTTTGCTCGCCTTCTCTTGCGCTAGTTCCCATTTGCATTTCGTGATTGGCAAATCGACGTTCGACGTTCGCTATTCCCTAGCGGCTTGTCGTTCGACGTTCGACGTTCGACGTTCGACGTCCGCTTACTGTGTACTAAGCCTGGGTCCAAGACGCGAGAGGCCATAGTAATCTGGCCAGAGCGCGAGCAATTGCGCAAATCACGGATCAACGGCAAAGTTTTGTCTTGAAACCACGTCGCCAAGTCTACACGCGTCATTTGTGGTGGATTTGTTCGAGAACTGAGGCTGCTACACGTATCCTTGGATTGTATTTGTTGAGAATGTTGACAATACTACCGCGTTGGACTCTACTGCCAGCTCTTCCGAAGCATGATCATGCAAACTTGAGGTTGACGGGTAAATCATGGTACATCTGATAGTCAAACTCGTTGCTCCACTCGACGATGAACACTTTGGTGAGTGCGACAGCTCCCATCAAGTCGAGCTCCTTATCTTGATCTACCAATCGCCAGAAGTGCGTCTCGTCCAGGTGGTCCATGCTCCAATCATCGACCAGCGCACGCATAATGTCTGTTACGACACGTACAAGGTCACCAGAATTTCCCTTTCCGAGAAGAATAGCCGAGGCCGCCATTTCACCCATGCTGTTGCGAACGAAGCTACTCTCCCAACCTTTGCGCTCGAGCAAATATTGTTTCTCTGCCACGGTCCGCTTTAGAAGAGCAGCCAGCTGAGATCTAAATCGGTCCATGGTAGCTTTTGAGTACGCTAAAAGAAGATCGCGCATGCCACGATGTATACTCCACGACAAATGGTTCCATGGAAGGCAATCGAGCGCTTGCGCAATAGCCTCTTGTTCTTTTCTGGGGATTAAGAAAACCGTGTCATCGTGAGAAGAGTCTTTGCTCGGCACCTTAAGCGTGAGGTAGTCGTCATTGACCTGTTTTGTCGAATCCTGATCCCGAGCGAAAATGTAGTCGACTTCGTACACTTTGCCTCCAAGCATATTGTACAAATGCCGAGACCCATGCGCTCCAGGAAAGCCTTTCACAGCGTACTCAAGCACATAGGTGCCCGCCGGCTTGCGACCGCAGAACGCTAGCTGCAGACCAGACGGCGCTACGATGACTCCGGCGAGCATCTGCGTGCAGCGGTTGGTCCGTTGCGTGAAACTTGGAGGGTAGACATCGGTACTTTTCTTGTGCGAGTCATGAGGTGAGAACTGCACGACGGCGTCTTGGCCAATTGGCCAGGTAATGTACCATTGGCCATTGTATGAAGCGTATCCGGCCCGGAATCCAGACGCATCGCTGTACGAGAAGGCGACCCTAGCGTTGGTAAGCGCCATCATGGTTATCAACGTCGTTCTTGAGATGGATACACAAGCATGTGCTTGGTATCGTGCTAATTGCATCCTCTCCAAGGATTTCCATTGCGTGCGTCTGTCTCGAGCCTCGCGTGAACGATCTTCTGTTTCAACGACGGTCTTCTCTTGCACGTGTTCTGTAGCTCTCTCTGCTTCTTCTATGGATGGGCTCGGTGATCGGAGCGAATGCAGCTTGTCCGGGTGGAAGATGGTCAAAATGAGTGCCCAGCCCGCCTTCCCTGGGGGCGCAAATAGCGGAAGGCGCGTCAGGTGGATGATCTGTTTCCCGCAGAACCCGTTTTCCAGATTTGCGACTAGAACAGGGCCGTATAATGGCGGCCTTCTCACCTTCCACCACGATAACTTGTCTTGGTGTCCGTACCAGAATCCTAGATATGTCGGGGTGCGATGACTGTGAAAAGGGTCCAGCTTGTCATTGATGGCGCTGGCTTGCGATAAGAGACCACCCAATCCCACCGCTGTGACCACGAACGAAAGCCATGTTGCGACATCTGACGATGTTTCCATTCTGAAGAGCCTGGCAGTTAAAGTCTCCATTGTGTGAGTGTACGCGCAGCAATGGTGGAGAGCAATATACTTACATGGTGCGGGGACGCGCATATATATGAGGGTGCTGCTAGCCAAATCGCTTGCACGGGCAACTGGTGGTGCAGAGCGCTTGTCTAGTAACACTCAGGTAGTAGACAGTCCGGTTTTTGAATCAATTACCAAAGGCGCGTATCTAAGCGCCACCATGTGCGCGAACTACATCGTTGCCTGATGCCGTGCCAGACAACCCGTCTTCATGCACAACGTGCTTTCAGGTCACAATCAGCCTTGTAACCGCCCAGCGACATATGCTAAACTATTCAAGAGATGAAGTGGCCTTGAAGCGCTTTTCACGCGGGAATTTATCGTCGAATTTCGTGTGTCCTCACATTTTTCGTCGCTGCACAATGGCATGATGGGATCGTAGGGTAGGAGTGGGATGCCCCTCTCGAGGCTTATCTTTGGTAGGGGTACACAAATGACTATAGCGTGATATGCGCTCACGTACGCAATGTAGTAAGCAAAGAGAGCCTTGCGATTTTATGTTGTTCGCTCGTTCACTGCGGCATTCCGAGTTGGAGTTGTGCGATCCAGAGCGTATGTGGATGAACTCCACGGTTGGAGCAAAGTTGGAGGTGAGATCGAGGATACCTAGGTAAGGACCGGAATGACGTACGTGATCTCACGTGCAGCGCAAGTTAGGTTTAGCGGCACTCGGTCTGAGTTTCCTAATTTCCCGACGAGAGCTGCAACACCAACATAGCCGTTGCTCACAGACAACGCCATGAGATCATCAGGGTTCTCCTTGCTCAAGCCATTACGCGTTGAATTCCTTTCTTTTGCAATCCCGGGTGGAAACTTCGCGTCGTGGTCAGCCTCGTCTTCGCCGGCTGTGCCTCCAACACGCGTTACAATGTACCGAGATGCACGCGCAAGGCTAATATCAGACGTCCCACCCCAGGCCCCGGCTTAACCCTTCGTTCGAATACATCCCGTATCCCACCTGCACTACCAACCGGAGGTCACGGCTCCAATTTAGTACAGCATGGATGTACCGTCGACGTTACCCCGCAGCCACCTGCAGTCGGCTGTAATCATGCATATCACCGCAACACCAGAGCTTTAGAGCCAGACTATCGCCCTGCTAGGAGATGATGGACGGTACAAGATGACTTAAGAATGCTACCTGAATTGCTTATGCGGCAGGTAGCATGGTCTTGGACCATCGCGTCACTGCCAAGCGTGATGGAACGGAAGGATAAATAGTTCATGTGGGGAAGCGCGATGAGGAATCTGCGCAGTCGGTGTTTACCTTGGCTGCTTTCACCAAGAGTGTTCCGGTTCAGCTACAATCATGGGCATTCCTTCCGTGAAGCAGGCGTCAGCTCTACTGCTAGGCGTATTCATAACATCTACGAGCGCGCAGTACAATTCCTCGCAACCACAGAAAAGCGGATATCAATATGTTGACCCTCTCATCGGGACGATCAATGGAGGTACTAACGCAATGTTTCGGAACAACGACCATAATCGGCTGACCACACAAAGGGCACGTATTCCCTGGCGCGACATTGCCATTCGGTATGTGGTTATCTCAGATACAAGCCAGCGCCTACTGACAGCTGCGAGGAATGGCCAAAGCGGGGCCCGACGTGATCGGCGAAAACCAAGGAGGGTTCTCCTCTAACGACTCAGAACCTATTTACGGGTTCTCGCATATGCACGACTCTGGAACGGGTGGCTCGCCGTCACTTGGCAATTTCCCAATCTTTGCGCAGGCCGGATGCGAGAACGACGACATCAACGGATGCCAGTACTTCGAATCACAACGAGCTGTCGAGCGTATACCTGGGGCTGTTCATGCCAGACCTGGCTACTTCGATATCACACTGAAGGACAACATCAGGACGGAATCGACGGTCACGAATCGCACAGCTCTATATCGTATCACCTTTCCCGAAACGCCGACGGCGCCGAACGCGACGCTGAGTCCGCACATTTTGCTTGATCTGACAGATCTACCGAACACAAGAAGCGAAGCAAACATCACCGTGGATGCCGAGACCGGGCGTATGACTGGTAGCGGAGTGTTTTCGCCATCGTTTGGAATCGGAACGTACAGGTCACATTTCTGCCTCGACTTTGATGGTGCAAAGATCAAAGATGCTGGCGTTTGGCAGAACACGCGTGCGACAAACAGGGCAACCAGTCTGAATGTCGTTCCCGGCGATGTGCGACAATCACCCGTTCTCACACCAGCAGGTGGATGGGTGCAATTTGAGAAGCCCACCCAGGGTAATCAGATCCTTGCAAGAGTTGGAATGAGCTTTGTGAGCGAGGATCAGGCATGCGCGAATGCTGAACGCGAGATACCCTCGTGGGGATTTGATGATGTCGTTGCGGCTGCTGAGGCTGCATGGCGCTCCAAGCTAGACGTCATTACGGTTGAAGACGGCGGTGTTGATCTCGTCTTCCTCAAAGCTTTCTGGAGTGGCGTGTACAGATCCATGATTAGTCCACAAGACTACACAGGTGAAAATCCCCTTTGGGAGTCTGACGAACCGTACTACGACTCCTACTACTGTATCTGGGACAGTTTCAGATCGATCCATCCACTGATCACGATCCTGGATCCTCACAGCCAAACGCTCATGATAAGAAGTCTGCTCGATATCTACCGTCATGAAGGATGGCTGCCAGATTGCCGCATGAGCTTCTGCAAAGGATTTACGCAAGGAGGCTCAAACGCCGATATTGTGATTACGGACGCATATCTGAAGAACATCACGACTGGCATTGACTGGACACTTGCATACGAGGCTCTCGTAAAGGATGCGGAAGTCGAACCACCCAACTGGGACGTTGAGGGTAAGAATTCGATGCGTATGCGGGTACCAGTTCTTGACTAACAACTGTCTAGGTCGCGGTGGTCTGGTATCATGGAAGGAGTTAGGCTACATACCTACCGAAAACCTTGATGTCGAAGGTGTGGGCACAGAGACACGCTCAATCTCCCGGACCGTCGAATACGCCTACAACGACTTCGTCATTGCTCTACTAGCCCGCGAACTCGGCAACACAGCCGACTACCTGAAGTACCTGGAACGTTCCGGCAACTGGCAAAACATGTTCAAGGCCGATCAAAGAAGCATCATCAACGGCACCGACACCGGCTTTGAAGGCTTCTTGCAACCGAAATTCCTCAACGGCACCTGGGGCTCTCAGGATCCGATCTTCTGCTCACCACTACTTAATTTCACTGGTTGCTACCTGAACCCTGCAGGTGGCGAGACATACGAAGGTCCTGTCTGGCTGTACACTTTCTTTGCCCCAGGGGACATGGTCACTCTCATCCAGACTCTCGGAGGCCGTGAGCGCTTTGTTGAGCGTATGAACTGGCTGCATGAATCCGGTGTTCTATACCTTGGCGACGAACAGGCTTTCCTCAACGTATTCCTATACCACTACGCCGGCCGTCCTGCTCTCTCCGCTGAGCGCGCTCATCAGTACATACCCTCATTATTCAACGACACCGTCGTCGGTATCCCGGGCAATGACGATAGCGGCGCCATGGGTTCTTTCGAAGCCTTCGTCATGATGGGTTTCTTCCCCAATGCCGGCCAGGACGTATACTTCATCATACCGCCATTCTTCGAGTCCATCTCCGTCAGGAATGGCCAGACGGGCAACACAGCGACGATTCGGAATATTAACTTTGATGCGGCTTATGAGAACATCTACATCCAATCTGCCACGCTCAACGGTGTGCCTTACACGAAGAACTGGATCCAACACAGCTTCTTCTTAGAAGGCGGTGTCTTGGAGTTGACGTTAGGACCACAGGAAAGCAGCTGGGGAACGAAGTCGGAAGATGTGCCTCCCAGTCTTGGACCGTTCACAAACAGCACTATGTCTGGCAAGAGATCTATTGGTGCGGATCGGGGGTGGGCGATGCCGAGGATGGAGTTTGAATCTGTCGGTAGTCAGTGAGAGATCCAACGGAGCACGACACTATCAATAGCGGAAAGAAAGCTTGTATGAATGTGCACAATGCCACGACTCGACTATGGTCATAAAGGTGACTCGCGTGATAACCCGTCATCCTACAGTGACTGTGGATCGTTTGAGGTCAGTGCGCGATCATTGTATTTAAACGGCATCTTGCGAACAGAGTATACTGCGTACACCACTCAGTCTTTACAAACGATATCTCCTACATTAAGCTCCTTTGGCGATATTCATCATGAACCACCGATACACATCGCTGTCTTTACCCGGCGTTATGTCGTCGGACTCCCCAAAAGCAGAGTGCACGCTCCTACATTCAGAGCCAACAGCTTCGGAATCTACCGGGGACGAGATTAGGGCCGCTAAGGAATTATGCGACTTCCTTCAAAGCCGAGTGAACTTGCTGAAAAACGAATTGTCATCGCTTGAAGACAAGACGGATCCTCGATCACAATCACAGTACAGGCATCGGTCAAAACAGATGGAAGATTGTGGTCAACGTTACAAAGAAGCCACTGAGACATATAACGGGCTGGTAGCGGCGGTCAGTAAGCAAAATGAGTGAGGGTGTAATGAGGGTTGGACTGAGATGACTGGCCTGTTGAAGGATTAACGATGGGGTTTCACTTTCGAGACTGTCGGTGTCGGCCATGGAAGTTGGTAGATGAAGGACGAAGATGGTTCGGCGATGGGGGTCGGCAGATACAGGTGCAACATCAATTCTAATCTGCACTTGAACGCCATGACAATGAAAAAATGACTGTTTTGATATTCATCGTGAAGCTATGACAGCGTGTATGTGTCATTCAATCGTGAGTCATACTAATGAGCGACTATGGGTCAATCCAAGAAGACATGAGACCAACATCCCCACTTCCCCTTCCATCCTAATCATATGACAATTTGTTCCATCCACCACCCTTCAAAGAAAGAAACCATCTTACTTCTCCCTAACAGCAACACCACCGTTCAGTCCAGCACGGGCCTCAGCATCCTCGCGGGAGATGACCCTGTGGGCACCAGACCAGATACCAAGGCTACGCTTGATAGCCTTCCAGCTCTCAATCGCGCTGATGTAGATGACGACGCAACCGAATGCGACGCCCCACTCCCAGGTGATGGCACCATGCTTGAACACCTTCTCGTTGATGATGGGGAGGTAGACGATGGGGAAGACGACGAGTAATCCGGCGATGACTGCAAAGAAGAGGAAGCGGTTGCGCCAGATGGTAGTGAAAACGGACAGACCGGCTGGGGCTGAGGAAGGAGTGTTGGGGTACATGTTGAAGAGCGAGCGAGCGAAGTGCTTGACCTCCCAGGCCGTGACGAGGAGAAGAAGCGTGATTGTGGCGTAAGTTGTCGCGCGGGCACGGAACACAACCTCGCAAGTATCGTTGTACCCTTCGTTGCATCCAGATCCGAGGTTGCCTCCGCCAGGACCGACGTAAGCGACGATGGCGAAAGAGAAGAGACATAGTGCTCCCATGAAGAAACCGTAGATGAACTTGTCTGTGATCAATTCGGCCGTGAAGACACCCTTCTTGTTGTCGTGCGGTGGTCGGTACATGCTGTCTTCCTGTGACTCTTCGAGTCCGAGACCGATGGCGAGGAAGGAGGAAGTAATGAGGTTGACCCAGAGAATCTCGATGGGGGAGAGCGGGAAGACGGAGTGGTTGTCTTGGTCTTTGAAGGCGAGACCGATGAGAAGGAGGATGACTTGCGCGATGTTCGAGATGAGAAGATGCATGAGGAACTGTAGTATGATATGTCAGTGAGTGATCTTGATCAAGGGGGGAGCAAGATGGCATACCTTCTGGATGTTGTCAAACAAGCGTCGGCCTTCTTCAACGGCCTTCACAATGGAAGCGAAGTTGTCGTCAGTGAGAACCATCTCGGCGGCATCCTTGGCGACGTCGCTTCCAGTGCCCATAGCCATACCGACGTTGGCTTGCTTAAGCGCGGGTGAGTCGTTGACACCGTCACCAGTCATGACACAGAAGCGGCCCCTCCTGTGGAGAGCCTGCACCATCTTGACCTTGGTGGTCGGGCTACATCTGGCGATGACCAGGGGTAGAGTCTCCATGGCGTCGACCTCATCGTCAGACATCCTGTCAAAGTCTTTGGCGACCATGACAGCTGAGGCAGGAGTACGATCGTCGATGATGTCCACGTCCTTGGCTATAGCTCGGGCAGTACCGGGATGATCACCGGTGAGCATGTGCACCGTAATACCAGCGATCTTGCACTCGCGGACGGCACCTGCTGTCTCCAGACGAGGTGGGTCGTAGATGGCGACAAGACCGAGATAGTTGAGGTTGGCCTCAACAATATCACGTTCCGAGATGTCAGTGTCGGGTTGCAGCGTCTTGTGAGCAATGCACAAGACACGGAGACCTTGGTTAGCCATACTCTCGGCGGCTTCCAGGATCTCAGCCCTTTCCTGATCCGAGACGTTGAGCGCCGACATCATGAATTCGGTTGCTCCCTTGGTGTAGACGTCCATGAGGCCAGAGTGGTTGTCTTTGTAGACGACAGTCATCTTCTTGACCTTGGAGTCGAAGGAGAATTCGGTAGCGAGATGGATGTTGAGTGAGGAAAGTAGGCTTTCCTTACCCATGTTGAAACGAGAAGCGAGGACGTGCAATGCGACTTCGGTTGGCTCACCATGCGCCGTCCAGGCTCCATTCGTTACATCTTGCATAAAGGCAGTGGGTGGTCGCGAGATGGTGTCGATAGTGGACGCGTCAGTGTCGCGATCATCAGCACTGTTGTATTGCTCATGAGCCGCAGCCTTCTTCTCACTGGGAGAGTCGACGCGGGATTCAGATGGCGGTATGACCTTGGAGTTGTTGCAAAGAGCAATGGTATGGAGGAAGCGAGTGACGACAGCGTCGGGCCTGTAATCGCTCAGACTGAGCTGTCGTTTGTCAAAAGCAACGTTTCCGCTGGTGGGATTGTGAGGGTCTGTGATGGCATCGACGGTGAATGTACCGGCGCCACGCATGAGGGCCGTCTTTGCGACCATGCGACCTTGGGTGAGAGTTCCAGTCTTGTCAGAGCAGATGTTCGTGACACCGCCGACAGCCTCAATGGCCGACTGGACTCTGGTAATGACGTTTGCTTTGGCCATTGCCTTACCGCCGACAGCGATCGTAATCGTCAAGACTGCGATGAGCGACTCAGGAATAACAGCTACGGCAACACAGATACCATAGATGAGTACCTCTCCACCAACCTGCCATTTGCTTGCGGAAAAGACGATGATGGCGAGGATAATGGCGAGACCGAAGAGGAGAAGTGCGAACTTGCTCAGCGTGATCTGAAGGGGGGTTCCGACAAGACCGAGGATGGTCTTGCCGCCGTTCGTGAAGCGCTTCAAGATTCGGACGAAGATGTTGGAAGACTGCGGGCCGGCATCCTTCTTCTGACGGAGCATAGTAGCGATCTTTCCGACTTCGGTGTTCATACCAGTTGCGACTACAATACCATGGCAGCGTCCAGATGTCACCTCACTTCCGGAGAAGGCAAGGTTGGTCTGGTCGCCAGTGGCAAGGTCTTCCTCGTCAAAAGTCTTCCATGGTGTCTTCTCGACAGGAGCGGACTCTCCTGTGAGGAATGCTTCATTGGTGTAAGCGTTGACACCATCGATGAGGCGAATGTCGGCGGGTACGATGCTACCAACGGAGAGCTGGACGACGTCGCCAGGAACCAGGTCCACGGCCTTGACTTTGATGTCCATTGTGCCCTGGCGTGTGACGGTAGCTTCGGGTGCGGTGAGTTTCTTGAGAGATTCGATAGTCTTCTCGGCTCGGTAGTCCTGCCAGAAACCAACAACGATGTTGAGGAGGATAACTGCGGTGATGACGCCGCCTTCGATGTAGTCGTCTATGCCAAAGCTAATGGCCATGACAATGATGAGGACGAAGGTGAGACTGTTCGAAATCTGCCTTAACAGAATTTTCCACATGGAAAGCCCTTCAGCTCCCTTAACCTTGTTAGGGCCATAGAGCTGGAGGCGAGATTGCGCTTCAGAGTGAGGGAGTCCATGGCTGCGATAGTTAGCAGGAGCACGAGAGTGGTACGCATGAACAGTGAACCCTACTGGATGTCGACTCCCAGAGTCTGTGCAACTTCCTCGGAGGTGAGGGTGTGCGGAGCGTGGAGTGTGGGCGAAGTGTCGCCATCGATAGGGTTCGGCTGGGGTTGCCTTTGGTTTGGTGCAGTATGCGGATCCTTACTACCACATATAGGGGGTTCATCGACGTTAGGAGAAGTCTCCTCGACGGCAAGTAGCACAGTTTCACCCATTCAAGTATATGTGATAACACGGATAGTGTTGGTGGTAGAGAGCAAAGATACGCCTTTGCGGGGGAGTAGTTATAGGCAGCTTGTCCTACCAGGTTTAGGCGGGGTTAGCACGCTAGACGAACGACGTGGGTCATCCAAGCGTGGAGAGGCTTGGAACCTCTTGTCCACCACGCCACATGAATGGCTGCACATGTCTTTGTCGCAGCAAGTATTGCATTAGCAGGTACAAACATAGTGATCAGCTGATGCTCCGGACAAACATGTACCCACAGCTTGGTTTCAAAGACCAGTAGTAAGCGAACGCAGTGAGGCTGGACTAACTCGAACGCTCATTGACCGAACGATAAGAATCTTGGCTGACGGGCCCAAGCAATCCGGCCTCCGCTCTCCGGTCCTAAGTCTCAGCTGTGTGGCTTTGAGGCACTGTGCCGCGATGCCGAGATGTCTCGGCTGTTGGCGTTGAGATCTATCGGAGTACTCTTCGGTACCAAATGTTTGCCCGTTGAAGTTGAGGCAACCAAACCCCGCGTTTTGCGCGATGTGTGTGGAGCCATGTTATGCTTTTGGACAGCAGGAGGATTCGTCTGGGAAATGGATTCCGGGGTCGAGATACGATAGTAAGCAGCGCTGTCGCATATGACAGGTTGATGTTTGCCACGTATGCCACTTCAGGC